CTTGCATCATCATTTGCCATTCGTCAGTCATTGATCTCATGTTTAGAATAACAGATAATAATATGTGCAGACACTGTTGGTATCGACAGCAGATGTAGAGTATACAATTTACAGTAGGGAGTAGTTATTGATAAAGTTCGGCGGTTTACTTCTGGTAGAACACAATAAAACAATGTATAGATAATAATACTGCGATTATTTACCTAATTAATTTATCTACGTCGAGTTCGTTAACAGATCTAAAGGTTAATGTCTCAGATCACAAGTGAGTCACAAATCATATAATCAACGATCAATTATGTCTAATTGAAACTGTTTACAGCTCTGAACTAAACAGGCACAGAACAATTTGTTTAGATACTACGAATTAATTTGGCATATGTATTTCATTTAAATCACATTCTACTAATAGGTCAAGGTGTAGGTACGCACAATATTCAACAAGTTAAAAAGTAATCGTAACCGATTTACATACAGCGCATTTCCACTTGCATTCATTTCCCATTTGTAAGATGCAACTGTTAAAATCGTAAAAATCCGGCCACAAATGTAAAAGATAGCGTTGCACATGGGCAATCCATTTTTGACGTGCTACTTCAATTTCAATTTATACGAAGAATTTCATTTCAATGCTTTTCTAAACAAGAAAGTTAGAACTGCGCATGCGCAAACCTAAATTTTGAAACTAATGTTAGATTTTCCTTTGTTTCAAGCGCCTAAGGCTGTCTCACAGTGGAAGCGTTTTCGCGCGAACTGGGATTCGTACGAATACGTACGTTTACGGACAAACTATTCAAACGTACGATTTCAAACGGACCTTCGCACATTAGCGATTAATAAATCGTCCGTATACGTGCGTGTAATTGCGACGTACGAACCGATCCCATTTTGTTCGGATTTTTATGCGAATTCGCAGGTTGTAGAGTGTAGACGATTGTGTTTGTGAACAGTTGCTCAGCTCATGATCGATGCGCAGCTAATGTGCGAATGCGATTTGTGCGTACACGGACGTACAATTTTTGACGTTAACATGCGTATTTCAGTTCGCGCGTAAACGCTTCCACTGTGAGACAAGCCTAAGTATCAAATTTCACTTAAATGCTTCCATAGATAAAAAAGTCGGCACTGCGCATGCGGAAAATAAAATTTTGAAACTGGCGCTAGATTTCCCTTTAATCCAAGCACCTATGTATCAAATTTCATTTAAATGCTTCCATAAATAAAAAAGTTGGCACTGCGCATGCGCAAAACCAAATTTTGAAACTGGCGTTTGATTTTCCTTTATTCCAAGTGTCTATGTATCAAATTTCATTCAAATACTTTTATAAGAAAAAAAGTTTGCAATTCGGTTTATAAATGGTCGAGATGCGAAACGGGCACTGTAAATTTTGAATCGATTCGACTCAACTTTTGGCATTGCGTATTATATGGCTAAAGCTATGCCCATATTGAATTTCATGCAATTCAGTTAATAACTAACGGAGATGTAAAAGCGATCGAACATTTCTAAACAAAGTTATCGTTCACACGGACAGATAGATGGACAGACAGACAAAGGAATAGACGGACAGACCAACCGGCAGGCGACAGATAGCAATGCAAAATTATACACGATCTCTAGGATCGTTAATAAACGGCAAAAGTGTAAAATTATGGAACATGTAAAAAACGGTTTGTTGGTTTTTTTACAATAACTTTTCTTGCAATAAACGCAGAAAAAATTCCGTTCTTGGTGCAAGCTTCGACACCATAACGAACCAAATAGCGAAAAAAGTAGAACAATAGCTCTTAAGGTAAAAAAGCTAGTAGCGTCTCACAACCAGCGGACGGACGGACGGACAGACGGACGGATGGACGGACGGACAAAGTGTCCACAATAGCGCATTTTTTTATATTTTTGTGGAAATTCGCTAAAAAGTTGCCAAAAATGTGCATAGATGTTGAGTTCCTAAAAAGATTATTAATTTTTGTACTGCGTTTCGAGTGTCAGAACGGTTGTCATTTTGTAGGAAGGGGTAGGTACAAAGAATAAGGCTTCCAAGATCTGGTTTTACCTTCATGGTACTCTAATGAAAGATCTCAACGAAAGAAATTAATTTCTACCAACCGCGGTGGTCCTCCTCTTCGACTCCTTATTGTAATTGGGTATAAATATTTCCTTATATCTCCAGAACAGATTGTCGGGTCTGGAAGAAATATATTTATTGGTGATGTTAAAACTTTCAGTGCAAATATTGGCAGAACGGAGTGTCGGAATGTTTAAAAAAATTCACTGCTGCAGTCTGCAAGAAATTGAAGGAGGAAAAGAAACAAATTCATGATGTTGAAGCCGAAAGCGACTCTTCATTAAGAAAAACACAGATATTTGTAAGAACCCTCCAACAAGTTCCGCCTTGTTTTTAACGCTATGCAAAAACTTCTTTTTGTGTTCCCCAAACCGTTTTGTGCTTAATTCGAATCGCCTTGCAGGTTCAGCAGTCATTGTCAGTCCCGCCCGACTGGGCTTGGACCCGATCACAACAAGATAAAAGGTGGACGCCCAAATGGACCGAAAAACCTCCAGCGCAAGAGGCATCCTTCTAACTTATAAAGTGCGACAGCAAAAAAGGCTGCACCGAAGGAAGATGTAGATGCATCACACAAAACATGCCTTGCTCTCAACTGTGCGCATGCGACGAGCCTCTGCCATGATTCATAGTTCTTTTTCAAATTTGTTTCTGTTTACAAAGATTAAACCCTGGTTTAGTTTTAATGATTTTCTATAAACCATTAACCTTGGCAACCTGTTTATATCTATATTATACAGTATAACTACTAACTTTGAATCAGCACCTGTTAGGGTAGACAACCAGCCGTAATTTAGGCCTCCCACATCTCCAAATCCCAAATGCATTGAAGCATGTAGGTGTAGTTAGCCTAAAGCCGGCTCCACACATTCGGCTATTTGTGACAAATATGGCAAATATCCGAATGTGTGGATGGGGTGCTTGAAGACAAATATTCGCACAAAGGGACATATATTCGGCAAATATAAATATTTCCCGTTCGAAGTCGGTAAATGAACACAAATCAAAGGCACCAAATATTTGTCAAACAGGCGAGACCTGTCTGATGGCACAAATGGCAAATATGAGGATGGTGATACTTTGTCATTAAGACAAATATTTTAGCAAATATACAAATATTCGTGTATTTGCCATATATTCGAATGTGTGCAGCCGACTTAAGAGTAAATTCTGTCAGAGAAAATGCGTAAAATCATAACTTTATGTCATTTTCGTTAAATAGCTCCTTTACTACGTGGGCAATCCAATCTCTTATCCTCGGGTTCCGAGGGGAACTGAGCGTGGTGCCTCTTGAAGAGGAAGGGTCATAGAAAATTTATGCCAATTTTCAAAACTTTACCTCAAAGTGCGAACTCGTTTGGCTTATACGCCAGAAAAGGCGTAAGCGTGACCATTGAAGTCGGAATCCGCTAAGGAGTGTGTAACTCACCTGACGATACATGACGCAGTTACCAGCCCTAAAAATGGATGGCGTGGCAAGGACATCTAAGTGGAAATAAATAGCACATTTTTTTGTTGTTTTAAAATGCGCAGAAATCTTGAGCCTATTATAGTTTTTTAAACTCTTTATAGTAGGTATACATCTGTGTCCAATATATGGATGTGTCTATCATGGAAATCTACTTAAACCATAGAAGATACGATGGTCAAATTTGAAATTAGGGATCAGTTGCACAATTAAAGGGTAATTATCATACTTTTAAGATAATCAGAAAATAACGATTACTTTCGAAGAATGCCAGAAAAACCAAAATTTGCCTATTTCGCTTTAATTTTGTTCTATAATGTTATTACCTCTATACCTACAGTTCCAAAAAATAAAAAACACTGTCTCATTGCCACTTTTTGAGTTCTACAAGACACCGTTGAGGGATTTTCGTTTCGGAGAAATGATTAACTGTACAAACAAATTTCCTGGAAAATGTAAAATATGTCCGATTAGGGCGCTGTGGGCGGACGCACCATCCTGTTGAAACTATAACAGTTTCCAACTTTCGTTTTTTTATGTGTTTTTACTTATGTATTAAAAATTTGTTATGGCTTAATCCTAGCTCTGCTAGCTTTAATTCAAGTGGTGCAATTAAGCGCATAACCAGATGTATCAGATGTCATACACCAGCGACAAAAATACATGAGGGAGGTTGGGCTATACTTGCAACCCCTTCCAAATGTATTTTCGTATTTCTAAAAAGCAAAAATGGTACACAAGTTATCATCGGTGTGCTCATGTGAGCGCATAAAGAGTGCATAAATGAGCGTATTAGTTTAACTTTAACCAAAGAGTATGGGTAGGTACTCTTTGGTTGTAATATGCTACAAGTAATATACTAATAAAATAAGCCTATTGAAAATGGGTCAAATCCAATTACTCCTTGGGGTCACGCCTTTCTGTCTCTGCCAAACGCTTGAACCTATTCGGTTCAAACTTTGCACAGTTGACACATATACCACATGTAACACGCCTATTGAAAATGGGTCAAATCCAATGACTCCGTAGGGTCACACCGAGGTGCTTTGCCGCTTTTTTAGATCCGCTTTAGGGGTTTATTGAAAATTTGAAATCGAAGACGGCAACAGGACGTTGTTAGGTACAAGCTTAGTGTAAACTGTAAAGAAACACTATGGTACAAGTATTCCTAGGTGAGATAGGTATATCGTATATCATCCACCAGTAAACATTTCACAAAAAACTGTTTGCTCGTAGGTACGGACGGACAGATATTCCGCAAATAAAAAACACAAGGAAATGAATGTCAATAATTATAAATATATGAAGCATAGTATACCTATACCTCTAGGCGGAATGCATATTGATTTCACGCACCACTATCTGCAATGCATCATTTTTTACTCCTGACAGTAATAGTTAGGGATTATAAACATGAATTGACTTTTCACAAATCACAACCAATTCTCGTGTAGTGTAGTACGTGTAGCTGTAAATTCTGTTTTATGAAGTCATAAACAAAGGCTATTACCACAGATATACGTAAACTGTGCTATTACTTTTCATATAATGATCCATTTTTTGGCATGCTTTCAAATGTAGACAAGTACGTAATTTCATGGCTACAAACTCAAATCTGGGTTTGAAATGATGACAACCTAAGACCAAGACATTGAAGAGATTTCAACTTTCCCAGAAAATTGCACGAAATTTGCTAGCGTTTAGGCAACCCAAATTGCAGAGATATACAAAATTCGTCTCAGGTTCGTGTTTTTTTCATGGAATACATAACCTCAATATATTAGTGTTTGTAATCATTTAAGTTTTTATAATTGCTTTTAGTAAAAAATGTGTTCAGTGGCTACGATACTAAACTATAAAACATTTAAAAAGGCTTTACCACATCTGCTAAAAAACGCAAAATTTAAAATGTACACAATAAAACAACCTTTATACAGAAATTTTTGTAGCATGACTTCGAAAGTGACTCGCTCTCAAAGTTACGTTTCCATCAATGTAGCAGAAAATACAAACTCACTGAAACGAAGTCGCTTTCATATATTTGTTCGTAAGGTTTCCAATCAGAAATCCAGCAAACCGAAGGAGAAGCGCCTTAGTAGAGCAGATCTGGTACGTTTATTCTCGCTTGCCAAGCCAGAAGCGTGGAAACTGATGGGTAATTTTAATTTTGCGATATCACAAACATTGTGGAATGATTTTCAGGTGCCGTGTGCTTGTTATTCATTTCAAGCGCCGTGACAATGGCCGTACCTTTCACTTTAGGGAAAGTACTTGATATTATATACACCAACAGTGACAATGTAGAAGAGGCGCGTAGTAAGATGAATCGTTTATGTGGAATTTTAATTGCGGTTTTTATTGTCGGAGGTATTTGTAATTTCGGACGGGTTTACATTATGTCGACATCAGGTAATTTATAATACTCAATAGACTGGCGGATAATGACACCATTTTAAAACAGAAGTAATGTTTTGGGTGTGAATGGGGTAGAATAACTCGAAACAAAACGATCACATCCGTAATAGTCGATGAGAGCCTGTACTGGAGAGTCGATGAGGGTTTCGCTTCGAAGATCATGGCACGCTAGCAGTTAAAATTTTTTGAACAAAATTGTGTAACAGGCGACTTGTAAACACAAGCAAGTTCTAATGTTGTTCCTGTTTTACTCCCTCACAGTCAAAACATTTTTTAAAATAGTGTCAATATCTGCAAGTCTACAATGTAATTGAAACTAATTAAAGTGTAGGGTACAGAATGACGCAGTCGTTACGGTTGAGAGTCTTTTCTTCAGTTTTAAAACAAGAGCAGGGATGGTTTGATACGCGACCTACAGGCGAACTGATAAATCGCCTATCATCGGATACTCAGATCGTAGGCCAAGCTTTAACCACCAATATTTCTGACGGGTTGAGATCTACAATTATGGTTCTGGCTGGTAGCGGAATGATGGTAAAAGTATAGATTACAGGTACAGTATTTTTTGTAAACGGTAGCACAGTTTTACATGTCGCCCGAGTTGGCGCTGGTGGGTTTGGCCATTGTTCCGCCTGTAGCAGTTCTTGCTGTTATATATGGGAGGTTTGTGAGGCGAATAACGACAAATGTTCAGGATACGCTAGCAGGGGCCACGCAGGTGTCCGAGGAACGTATATCAAACATAAGGACTGTGAAAACGTTCAGTAGGGAATCCAGAGAAATTGAAACGTATACTAAAGCTATACAGGAAGTTCTCAAATTGGGGTACAAGGAGTCTAAAGCTAGAGCGTTCTTTTTTGGCATGGTTTGTGGGTTTTTTTAAACTTCTGTTTTTAGTACTTTGTAGATCTGTCAGTCGAGTCAAATTTTTTTAAATATTGGCCATCAATACTTTCACAGATGATGCATGCATTATTTCATTAACTGTTAAGTAAATATGGGAGGAGGATGAGTTTTCTAAAGCTTGCTTTATACAGGCCGGTTCACATATATGTATGGAAGAAATTCATTTTTAGCGTTATAATAATAATAATAATGTAAATACTCTATGATAGTGCTGCGACTATATCAGATTCGTCAAGTAGCGTAGATAAAACGTACACTAAAGAAACAAAACAAAAACATGTACTACGAAAGAAAAAAAGTAGAAATAGTTACAGGTGCCATTCCGCACTTAAAAATTCGTCGACAGAATAAAAAGCGTGTAATTTAAGTATTTACTTACTTATCTCAGTTTTAAATTTATTGAAAGATAAAAGTCGCAGATTTGAGGGTAATTTATAACATTTTATCCCGTAATAGTTACTACAGTTCCGAGATGTTGTAAGTCGAACAGATTTTGAGCTAATATTGTCTCTACACCTAGTGGAGTATTCATGTATGTTGTATGAAAACTGGTAATCAGCAATGTTTTCTTTTATGAAATATACAATGTAGAATGTACAAGCTGGGAAGGGTTAAAATACCATGTTCAACAAACTTACACCTACAACAACTTCTGTAGCCTAAATTAGTGAGTATCCTAATCGCACGTCTTTGTATAGCAAAAATCCGTTTAACCCCAGAAGAATGTAATAATAGGAAGAATATAAGGAAAAGCACTGGGCCAAGTACTGAACCTTGAGCCACGCCTGTCTCAATTTACTTAAAACCCGATACACAGTTATTAAAACATACATACTGAATTCAATCGTTCAAATACTATTCTAACAACATAATGCTTTTATATTGGAAATTATATTTTGGAAGCTTACTCAGTAATATTGAGTGACTCACACAGTCGAATGCTTTAGTTAAATCTAAAAAATTTGCAACACAAATTGCATTAGATTCAAAACAGGTTAAAATTAAGTTGGTTAACTTCGAGATGGCACTCGCAGTGGATTTATTGTTACGAAAACCAAATTCACTGTCGCAAAATAAGTTTTTTGCTTCAAAATAGGATTATGTACTGGTGGGAAAAAAAGGGAAACAAGTCGATTTTCATTCTTAGTTGTACAATTATAGCATGGGTGGCCAACCGTTTTAGCAAATCGGTCAAAATGAAAAAGTAAGATTCCCCGCCCAACTTTTTTTTATTAATTGAAGCAAACAAATTTTAGTTACACACTTAAACAGAACCCAAACTCCTAGTCACCACCACAGTTTTAAAAAAAATTGCTATAATTACTAAGAGTTACGTACAACCACATAAGAGATGGATTTATTTGAAGTATTTTTTCTCGATAACGGTCGCAGATACGAAAAAACCAAAGAGTTTCTAAACAATCCAGAAAATCAAATTTTTGTTATACAATCTACCAATGACCCACCAAAAAAAGTACAGGTACCTATAGAAAACGGAATATGACCTCCAAAAAAATAACACCCTGTAGATTCTCACTACAATTGACATGACCAATGTGTAAGGCCTCTTCAGCCTAATATATCTGAAATTTGATTTATTTTTTTTTATTTTTATTTATTTAATTAATTAGCAATAAATTGATGTCTTAAAATGGATTAATTTATAACCGTAATCAAAGAGTGACTAATCATCTTTGCCGTAATTGCAATTTATCACTCACAATTTATAACACGCATCGATGTAGGAACTGGCTGAAATATGCTACAATTTGCTTATATAGCAAACGACAATTGTTCTAGAACGATTCGGGATGTCCTGCAATAAATACGTTATTTTTCCCGGAAAGATTGCGTCACATCCGCCTTCGCTTCTATCGTTGATGACTAATCTTCCATGGCGTCTCGATGTCTATTGGGATTTCTGGAATGTTCGCTACAATGTGGTGTTATATTCAACAAACGGATACTAAAGACGTTGACAATGGACAGTTGATTACGCTCCAGACTATATATTTGCGTGTGAAAGCTTAGAAGCGCCAAATTGTCACACCCAGGGCTGTAGTCAGAAGCTCCGAGTGAGGGGGGTGTATGCAATAAAAAATGCCGACTTCAATAAAAATTCAAAATAATACACCGTACAACATTAAACGACGGCATTTTAACGCTGCCCATTGTGACACTATTTTTTCCAAATGTATACTGTCTGCTGTATCTTTCTGATTACTTAGAACCAATAAGGCAGTTAGCCAATTATCCGCCATAGAGGGACGCAAATGATTTTTAATTAAACTATGTAATAAATACCAAAGTAATAATAATAATTATTATTTTATTATTTGTCATTATACACAGTGCTCTTTTTTCGCGGCTGTCATGGATATGGATTCTATTTTATTTCTATTTGCACGAAAACCGAGTCGAAGTGGGACGTTTAGAAGACTTTTACAGAGGAATTTGATAAATATGGCCAGAATGGCATAGAACTTTTTTTTGCGTTAGAGTCGCTAAATTTCATCTTATGAACTTTCATCAGAGTTATTTTTTCCTACGTTCAAAACAAATTCAAAAAATAATGTCATAGTGTAAACCGCCCATTTCTGAAGTATAATAAATAAATAAATAAATAGGTATACTCGTTTTTTTAAAATACAGAATTATTAAAACGCAGAATTCAGTTCTTTTTAATTATTGAAACTAAAAGAGATATCCCACAAGTGGTTTCAATGATTGATTCGCATTTTAAATTTAACTTTACCCCAATTTGACCATTAGTTTTCAACATAAGAGATCCCATCGTCAGGCGCTAAAAATGACCACCCTGTATACTTATCTACCATCTATCCCTATCGCAACTTTTAAACCCATGCAAACATAACGGCTAGAAAAATTTGCGGAACATTTTTAAGCGACCTTTAACCATGAAAGGTAATGGATCTACATCCTCGTAATATCAATGAGAGTAATAACCAATATTTCTTCATTTTGCGTGGAAGGGGCGGCTACAAAACGGTTTTCCGGCTTACCGGCGTATTTTACGCAATTTTTTTCCAATATTAATTAAATTAATTTTATTTGAATAGCGATTTGCCGAGTGCCGACTAACTGAAGTTTTGCCGACTATGGTCACGCGTTAGGGGGGGTGTGACACCCCCCATACCCCCCGTCAATCCGGCCCTCACACCATAAGATAGGGAGGTACGTGACAATACGGCTAAATCAGATTCGTCATTATCTAGCGGGGTTTTTGCGGAATCCGTAAGAAAGGTTTGCTAGGATACATCTGAGATGTCTGGGAAACTGCTTTTCTGTAGATGCCATTGGTAAAAAGAAATGAATTCTATTGGTAGAACAGATCGAAACCATAGTTACAACTTATGTTGGAAGGCACTATTATAGCCACTTTCTCCGTCCGAACCTGAACCAAGAAAAAGCGACGATAATTTGCACATGCGTAAACTGCGCAATGTCAATTTCATGATTTATGAGATATGTATTTTTTGAAATTTTAACCACAGATGCTTCTAGTAAAGACAAGCATATCGCATATTGTAAAAATCGGATGTGCAGTATCAACTTTCTTATTTACAGACATTTTTTTTAGTAAAGTCAAACATCACATATTTTAAATATCGGATGTGCGCATGCGCAGACTGCCAAATGCTAAATTTGTTATTTATAAGAATATTTATCGTTTAACTTATTACCCTTTGTACAGGGTGGTCCAAATTGGACACTTTTTATGGACACACCCTTTATTTTAATTTGGATTTCTGGAGCCCTAGGTACATAGGGTTTTTAACGTTTATAAAATAAAATAAAAAATCTGCGCTCAATTTTTTGTTTTGGCCATTGTATGTAGAAAAAATCATATATCATTGGATAGCGTTAAAGGGAGCTATCAACAAATGAAAAGTGATAACGATCCACGTTGCAAGCATTGAAGTCGATAATCAACGTAATCTGATACTTCTTTTTGTATGTACTAAGTTTGTGTCCGTCAATGAATTAAAAAAAAACTGGTATGTGTCTAAGCTTGAGTAAAATGAGTCTTTTTTAGCGATACTCGTTATAGATTCTAAAACTATTATTTTTGCAATGGTTTACAAAGTACTAAGAATGTTACTTTCTGTATTATACTATTATTTACTCACTACAAAACTATATAAATGCCAATGAACTCTTTATAGACTGGCTTTAGTGGTAATATAATAATAATATCAGTTCTATATTATGGAGGTGTAATGGTTTCCTCTCAAGCCATAACAGTAGGAAACTTGTCATCGTTTCTCTTATACGCCGCGTATATCGGCGTTTCGGTTGGAGGACTTTCAAGTTTCTATTCGGAACTAAATAAGTCGGTAGGCGCGGCTACTCGACTATGGGAGCTCGTGGATAGAGAACCGCTGATCCCCTTGCACGGTAAAACAAGGCGAATTAATTTCATTGTGCAGCTATCGATTTGTAGATGGGTTACATCCGCTGTCTCCACCACAGGGTCATATCACGTTCAAAAATGTCGAATTTAGCTATCCTTCACGTAACGACATTAAGGTACTAAATGATCTGATTTTGGATGTAACTCCCGGACGTACCTTGGCCGTGGTGGGACCTAGCGGTTCGGGAAAGAGTACTCTGGCCGCTTTACTGTTGAGACTGTATGATCCTGATAAAGGTGTGGTCTACTTAGATGGCGAAGATGTTAAACAATTAGATCCGTCGTGGTTACGAAGACATATTGGAACAGTCAGCCAAGTACTCACTTTACACAAAGACGAGCATTATTTATTATTTAAACCCGATTTATTAGGAGCCCACGCTGTTTTCAAGCAGCATTCGCGAAAACATTTTGTATGGTGCCGAAGAGCCGGATAAGGTTACAGAAGAACATTTTATGCAAGTAGTAAAAGAGGCTAATGTGTACGAATTCGTTAAACAATTGCCACAAGGATTTGACACCGTCGTTGGGGAAAGAGGCATTATGTTAAGTGGTGGGCAAAAGCAAAGAGTGGCCATCGCCAGAGCTCTTATTAAAAATCCGAAGATTTTGCTGTTAGATGAAGCAACCAGGTTTGAAGACCTTGCTATTTAAAATGCTATTGTTAATAATTATCATTTTCAGTGCTTTAGATGCGCAATCTGAATACCTCGTACAGGAAGCTTTGGAGAGAGTAATGAAGGGAAGAACAGTGTTGACAATTGCTCATCGTCTTTCAACAATTCAAAATGCAGATTTAATCGCCGTTCTTCAAGATGGACAGGTGGTGGAAAAGGGAACTTATCATGATTTGATGCAGTGTGACAAGGGACCATTTAGGGAACTCATTAAACATCAGACCTTTCAAGAAGCATCATGAGATTTGCTTTTGTATAGTTTATTTCTTGTTACACAAAGTATAAATTATTAAATCTTTTGTTGAATAGTTGTAAATAATATATGATCCTGATCTCAGTTTTACTAGTGAGTCCAGTGAAATGGATTTATTACTTACACTATTAGTGCTCCCTAAAGTACCTACATCATTAAATTAAAAATTATCAGAAATATAGAAAAAGGAAGAAATTAATTTAAAAAAATTAATGAAAAAGATTTTTAAAAATGAAGAAGTTCAAGAGAAAACATTTTTAAAAAATATTTTAGAATACATTTTTAGAAACAGTTAACATTTTTTTTTTAATTTTCTGAACGGAATTTTATCCAACACAAATCTTTGCCAATCAGCTCTGTATGGTCCTATATGATAGTCCAGCTTACTTCTTTTATGGTGCAAGGGAAATTATCAAAGAAAACTTTTGTTGCTGTTGTTCATATCAAATACAAAGAGGGCAATTGACCCTTACTGAATACTGAATAGAACTGCGATTGTCAAACAAATTTATAGATAATTACTTATGAAATTTTTTAGCGCATTTTTTAAGAATTAAAAAAAATTTGCTATTGTTTGCGTTTTGTCCGTCTGTCCAGACCAACTTCTGCCGTTTCGAACTACTCCTAGAGGGGAATGGTCCTAAACTCCTGGAATTTTTTGCAGTAGGTATAGCCTCTTGAGGGTGTGCCTGACGGCCATCAACGAAAGAAACGGTTTTCTACCAACTACTGCCCTTCTTTCTGTCCTCTTATCAAAGTACAGGGGGGAGTGGAACTAGTTTTATCGGTTATCCTTCCATGGTAGGTATACTCTAATAAAAGGTCTCAACGAAAAGAATTTATTTCTACCAACCATAGCCCTCCTCCTCGACCTCTTGTGACCTCGTGATCGGGTATATTCCTTTATACCTCAAGAACGGATTGTCGGAAGAGGGTACTCACAAAGGGTGATTGAGACATCTGCAAGAAATATATCCATTGGTGATGTCAAAACAAAAGCTATTGCGGTTAAAAAAATGAATGCGCTTTATCTGCACAAGAGTTGTGCACAATTTATACTTGTTTAAAAATTCGTGGAGAACATTGTAGTGTACTTAACCCTCAGATTCTACGCTAACTTCACACTACGAGAACACGGAAATAAAGTCTACCCGGCAACGTTTAAAAGTGGCCCCCCAAATGACTATTCCCTCCAAAACTAAACGAGATCTCGCTTAAATTTGTAAAGTGGCGCGTGATAAAACATCTAAGGCAGGGCCTCCTTACGTTAGTTGTAAACAACGCTATGACCTGAAGTTCACTCGGGACGGAACGTAAAATATAACACCAAAATTGTGAAAAGTTTGTTTAATAATGATCGTAATTATTATGATTGTGAAAACTCGGAAATTTAGTTGATGTATCTACGTTAATGTAAGCAAAGTCAGAAGGGTGTCGTACTCTCGCAAAAGTAATTACCAAGGGTAAAAAGAGTACGACGAAGAAAAACTTTGCAGTTTGGGGGTTAAAACAGTCAAAAAGTTAATTAACAAAATATTTTGTAAAAGTTTAAGCAGTAGTTAACAAAGATAGTAAACCCGCCCCTGGTTTCGGGGTTGCGAGCCTACAGTTGAATGTCAAAGACAATCACAGAATTAGGTGTCGTAACTCAAATTGGTTACAGTTTTTTTACCACCCCCGTAACTGCTTCATTCACAGAGAAAATTGTTAGTTGCAAACAACAAGTCAGTACATACATCAAACGAATCGGTGATTTCCACATATTAAAATAAAATGATCAAAACTTATATGAATGTTACTTCAAGGTCAAGACCAAGTAATCGACATCAATAGACATAAATTAAGCAAGCATTACACCAAAAACGTAAACAATTACAAACAATACCATAAAGGTATCAAATATGTGATTTTGCTTGCATTGCGGTTAAACTAAGTAAATTTCAAAAACAAAGATTGAAACAAACAAAAAGTAAAAAATACGGCATACAAAACACAAATACGATATAAAGAAATGCAAAGATTACACCAATATTAAATAACACAAAATAACAACAAACATTTATGGAGCGACGCGTTCACGACCGCCATTCAAGACAAGATGCCAAACGTAACCCCCGTTCGTGCTTTCTAGATGGCGCAGGCAGCTTTTTCCCGCCATAGATATATTAATACCTACCAGTAAAAATAAGAGGAGGGAATATAACGGTGGTGGGAAATAGCAAAACACGCGACGGAAGTCGTCAAAATATCACTTCCTTTGCGCTGGTCAGTTATGTCGACTTGACTTATCATAAAACAGAACAGACGATGTCAGTTTTGTTTTATTACACCACTGCCAATAATGACGCGTTTCTCCCCACTCTTCTCGCAATTTTATCACTTCCTTTTTGTCCATTTTCGTCAAGTCCCGTTTTAATGCAAGGTTCTCTCCTTTTATTTTTTACTCGTAGATTAATACCTAGATACAGCCAAGCGCCAGCATAGTTCAAAAGGACGATGATTACTGTTTCCCACCTAGAAATTGCGTGGTTGCCAACTCTCAAAAATGTATGTATCGTCGTAAGTTGTACCTATATACTGTTATAGTATATCTGTATGTTATAAAACGTGGCAACTATGTCTTTCGTAAAGGTTGCCAAGACGAAGCCGGTACGCTTGACACGACAGCTGCTCGATGGCCGGTGACATGACAATTGTCTAATAAAGATCTGTTCCGCTACCTGTGTGTTAATATATTAATCCAAGCAATCACCCAACATAATATGGTGTCAGAAGTTGTCGTCTAAAATTAATCTGTCAGTAAATAAAGAATCAAGCCCGTCATGCCAGACAATGAAGTAAATCCGTCAAATTCAAATGCTAACCAATCTGTTGTAGAAGCACGTGTAAGTAGAGCAGCACCTATGGCATCTTGTTCGCTTCAGCCTATGAATCTGCGTGCACCTGATTTATAAGCCTGGAAAACTTGGAAAACCCAATTCCTAATTTATCTGCGAGCTACAGGTCTTGACAAAGAAAGTGATGCAAGAAAAGTCGCCTTAATGCTTCACTACCTGGGCCCCGATTGCTTGAAAATCTACAATTCTTTTAACGAAAACTTGGATTCTGTGAAATACGACGAGCTAGAAACGAGGTTTGATGCACATTTTACACCTACCGCTAATATTTCATTTGAGAGGCATATATTTATAACACGAAAGCAAGGTAGCAATGAATCCCTTGAGGATTATGTCACAGCATTAACAAATCTTAGCCTGTCCTGCGACTTGGGAGCACTACGTGAAAGCTTGATTAAAGACATTTTTACCTGTGGTTTAAACGAATCCAATCACTACATCAAGGAAAAATTAATTGGAGCAGGTCCAATCGAATTAAATAAAGCAGTCGAACTAGCGAAGACCGCATCCCTTACAAAAGCGCAGATGTCTCAGTTAAGTTCAGCAGCATCGTTCGTAGGTGCAATAAATAATCAATTTCAAAGAAGAAAGCGTGTCAATCAAAGCCACACGAAGAGAAGAAAATCTGTCAGTCCGAGTACATCGCCTAAGAATAATTATGGATCGCCGTCAAGCTACGATAGTGCATGTACCCGCTGTGGTCAACATCATCGATATAGATGCCCTGCAGCAACTCAAATTTGCAATTACTGCCACAGAAGAGGACATTTCGTGCAATGCTGTTTTAAGAAAAAATCAAGAACTGTTCATCAGCTGTCTACAACCGAAGATTTATTTTTAGGAATGGTCGAGTGTGAAAATGTTCCCAGTTCTGATGTCAAATCCTTATCATGGGAATCTGCCGTACACATTAACAACAAAGAAGTCATTTGCCAATTGGACACCGGAGCTCAAACGAACATAATCAGTTTGTCTAAGTTCACAACTTTGGGCTTACCGAACTCAAATATCACACCTTGTTCGTCAAGGGTGAGTACGTTTACAGGACATAATATTGATGTAATTGGTTCAGTTAATTTGACTTGTAAAGTAGGGTTAAGGAAGTCGCACGAATTATTTCATGTTGCAAATTTCAATTGTGTTACAATCTTAGGATTAAGAGCTTGTATTAATTTGAAATTAGTGAAAAGACTTCACAACGTGCAATTCGATTCTGAAAGTAATCAGACGAGTGAAGTTCAGTCTGAAAAACACAATGTCTTGGAAACTTATAAGGACGTATTTGAAGGTTTAGGTAAAATTGATATGAAATGTCACTTTGTAGTCGATAAAAATATTAAGCCTGTCATTGAACCACTGCGAAAAATTCCTTTTATGTTACATAAGGATTTGGAAAAAGAACTTAAACGTATGGTTGACTTAGGGGTTATAATAAGAATATCTGAGCCCACTGCATGGGTAAATAGTATAGTTATAACCACTAAGAAAAATGGTAATTTAAGAATCTGTCTGGATCCTAGAAATCTGAACAAAGCAATTAAACGGTCTCATTATCCATTTCCGAATATAGATTCGGTAACAAGTAAACTTGCGAATGCATGTTTTTTCTCAACTCTCGATGCAAATTCAGGTTTCTGGACTATACCTTTAGATGACCAATCATCTAAACTGTGTACTTTTATAACTCCTTTTGGACGTTTTCGTTTCCTGAGGTTACCATTTGGTATTAACTCTGCACCAGAAATATTCCATGCTACAATGGTGGATCTGTTTGCACAAATTAAAAATGTAATTATTTATTTTGATGATCTGCTTATATTTGGAAGTACAAAAAAGGAACATGATTCTGTTTTAAAAACGGTCCTTGATAGGGCTCGTTCAGTGAATATGCGTTTTAATCCAAATAAATCGCATTTGTGTAAAACCTCTGTAACCTACATGGGTCACGTATTTTCAAGTCGTGGCATTCATCCAGATCCTTTAAAAATTAAGGCAATTGTTAAAATGCCAGAACCCAAAAATAAGCAAGATTTACAAAGGTTTATGGGTATGTTAACTTATTTGTCGTCATTTATCATAAATTTTTCTGATCATACGAAAGTGTTGAGGTTATTAATTAAAAAAGACAACCCTTGGCATTGGGATGAAATTCATAGAACAGAATTTAACAAATTAAAAACCCTTATCACTAAAGCACCAGTATTAACGTACTTTGATACAAACAAGAAGCTTACGCTATCATGTGATTCATCTCAATATGCAGTTGGAGCTGTCATATCGCATGATATTAACCCAATTGCTTTTGCATCTGCTTCATTAACAGACTGTCAGCAAAATTATGCACAAATTGAGCGTGAACTTCTTGCAATTGTATATGGATGTATAAAATTCCATCAATACATATATGGACAAAAAGTGCTAGTGCACACTGATCATAAACCATTAATTCCCCTTTTTATAAAGCCCTTATATAAGGTCCCACAGCGTCTTCAAAGATTTATGCTTAAAATTCAAGCCTATGATCTTGAAGTTCAGTATGTGCCAGGAAATAAAATGTTTGTATCTGATACCTTATCTAGGGCTCCATTGTCAGATAAACTGCTGGAAATATCAGATGAATTTGATAAGGATCTTAATTTACATGTAAATTTACTAGTGTGCAATCTTGCAGTTTCTTCTGAACAGTTAAACAAAATTCGAGAACAGACGAACAATGATCAGACTCTGTTAACGTTAAGTAAATATTATCAAGATGGTTGGCCCTCAAATAGAAATAATATTCCCTTAGAAGTGCGACCATTTTTTAAAATTTTCTGAATTTATTCATGTTGCGGATGGTATCGTTTTTAAAGGTGACTGTATCGTAATACCATCATCACTACGCAAGGAAATGCTGGCAATAATCCATGAAGGACATTTTGGTATTGATCGATGTATTAAGTTCGCAAAAAACTCATTATTTTGGCCGAACATGAGTAGCGATATCAAAAATATCGTGTCTACATGCATTACGTGTCAGCAATTCAGCAGAAATAACAGTCAACTTCCTTTAATGCCACATGAAATAAAATTAGTACCATGGTATAAGATTGGGGTAGATTTTATGGATGTATTGGATAAGAAATATCTTGTTTGCATTGACTATTTCTCGAAGTACATAGAAATAGCAGTAATGCAAAGAGGATGTACAGCTTTACTAGTTATAATAGAACTAAAATCAATTTTTGCAAGGCATGGAATACCTGTCACATTAATCTCAGACAATGGTCCTCCATTTGGTTCCAATGAATTTGCTAACTTTGTTAAAACTTGGCATATAAATCACGTGACAGCTAGTCCACACCATGCTCAATCAAATGGTCAAGTAGAAAGGAGTATAGGCACTTTGAAAAATATGATTATTAAAGCATTTGAGTGCAATGAAGATCCATATTTGGCTCTTCTACAATATCGTACAACTCCTAACGAAAGTTTGAACTCCCCATCACAATTGTTAATGAGTCGCTTACTCAGAACGCGACTACCCATTAAAGAATCTCTTTTGCAATCACAATTAACAGATTTGAATAAGCAAAAACAATTTATTGAAAGGATGAATTTTAAAAAATCTCATTATTTCAATAAATCATGTAAAACTCTTAATGATCTCGTAGTGGGACAAAAAGTGTTATTCAAAAAGGCACTTGCAGATAAAAAATGGCACATAGGTACAATTGTAAGTGTAGGACCTTTACCACGAACTTATCAAGTACAAAATGCAGAAGGCACATTATACCGCAGAAACCGAATGTTCTTTAAACCCTTAAAAACAATGGAAACTGAAATTGCTGATGTTAATAATGATAATGAAGGATTATTAACTAACAGTAATTCAGACAATTCATTACTAATTGTTCCAAACCCAATTAGGTCAGAAACGGTGAATGATTCTGAAATACAGGTGAATGATTCTGAAAGGCACACACGATCAGGTCGTTTAATTAAGACCCCAAGTAGACTAAACTTGTAGTAATGTTTGTAATTATATGTAATGTTTGTTATTTTAAGTATACTTTGTATTATTAAGGAAAGGGAGATGTTATAGTATATCTGTATGTTATAAAACGTGGCAACTATGTCTTTCGTAAAGGTTGCCAAGACGAAGCCGGTACGCTTGACACGACAGCTGCTCGATGGCCGGTGACATGACAATTGTCTAATAAAGATCTGTTCCGCTACCTGTGTGTTAATATATTAATCCAAGCAATCACCCAACATAATATATACAAAGTGGGACCTTTCAACATTTTGTGCTATTCAATTTCAAAATTTTAAAATGACCGCCATTTTGTTGTAATTTTTTTGTAAAAAAGTTTTGTACAAAAGTTGTACATTGATTTTTAAAAAATATCTAATTTTTTGAAATCCGACTATAAAAGATGGCGCGGATTCTCCGTTAATAAAACAAAATAACCAATGCCCTTGTTTGGATCTAATTGTCATCAACAAAATGCGATACAAATCTATTTCATGCAGTTGATTTTCACAGGCCCTTTAGGAATATTCAAATTACGTTAAACAAAATTGCTATGCAAAGTTCCTAAAAATATAACCTTTAGAGTAGAAATATGGAAACAAATTGCGATAGCACACCCGCCCTGGGCTTAAATTGATTGATAAACGATACAATATAAAATAAACAAAGAAATTTTAATTTTTACTAAGTAGGTAACTACGCTCTAAATTTACCTACAAAACTTAGGAATATGAAGAATGAGAATTCCCAACTTCTTCCATGTACTGTAACTTCAACTTTTGATGGTCATACTTCCCTACATTGTTTCGAGGTAGCTCTTTCATAACCAACACTCCGCCTTTAAGATCTTTGTAACTTGATACTTTCTTTGATACGAATTCTTTCAGTTTGTCAGTATCGACTACAGTTCCTGGTTTTGTAGTAACGTACGCTCTAGGAACTTCGCCATAACTATCATGTGGGATTCCGATCACTATTACTTCCAAAATATTAGGGTAACTTCGAATAATATTCTGCAGCTCTGCAGGTGCCACAACATATCCTTTTACTTTTATCATGTTTTTAATACGGTCAATCAGGTAGAAATTCTTATTGTGATCGTAGCGGACCATATCACCTGTTTTGAACCACCCATCCGTAATGGTTTTGGCCGTCTCCTCAGGCTTGTTATGGTATCCCTTCATTACTTGTGGTCCCTTGACCCATAGTTCACCTTTTTCCATTTCACTCAAAGGAGCTTGGTTATCCACTCCTACCACTTTCATTTCGGTGTTAGGTACGGGGATACCAATCGAACCCAAACTAGAATTAATTCTACGGGTTGTTGTGAGTATACCGCATTCACTCGAACCATATCCTAACGATTAATAATTTTTGCTAGAATACTATCAGAATGGCACTCACCTTGCATTACGTAAATTTTTTTCCCCGACATTTTAATAAAACGTTCCTGTGCCAAAGCTGAAAGGGGAGCAGAGCCTATAGTAACCACTCGCAGTGATTGTAACAGTTTTGGATCCACTCTGTTGCTATTGATGATGAATTGTACTGAAAGAACGTGCAGTGTTTATTGATTCCGGACTAATTGATAACTCACCTGTCGCCGGCACGGTATACAGCGCCGTAAGTTGATGTTTTTCAAACAGGTTTACGAATATATCGGGACTAAACTTTGGAACGGTCACAAGCTTCGACAGATTGTATAAACCACCCATTAGTAATCCACCAAAACCGTACATGTGAGTGAAAGGCAGAATTGCTGGCACGACATCTTGGTGATTTCCTAAAGTGGAACGTATTCAGTTTTTTTATTCTGGTGATATCGAATGAGGAACCATATCGATGCACATATAGGTACCTACATGCGTACCTTTGGGTGAAATTGAAATGGACGATGGCGTGAATTCCAAATAAACTAAGGGTTCAAAATGCATCATTTGAGAAATACGAAAACAGATTCAAGCTCAATTCTTGCCCGGATAACGAAAAAGTGTGCAAATTTTACAAAACTGTTTATTAATTTAAGAGCAACATTATTATAATCATCAGTCTTTGCATATACCTGTACACTGTGTCCAAGACAAAGTTTGCCTATCGGACAAAATTTCCTCGAAAATGGAAAATTTGTCCCATAGATATTCTAACGTTGAGGCAACTAGAAAACCGACAAGGGTCCACGTTAACTCAAACTCTTTATGATTCGGCCATTGAATACCGAAACATTTTTTTATCTGTATAACAGTGTGTGAACCAATGTAGAGGAAATTCCTCCTACTCACTTACGGCATCGTGTTTTGGTGGCCGAAACTACAGCAATCAAGCGCAGTCAGCAAAATAAGCGGTGTCCATGTATCTAGCCGACTTGTGCACCACAGGAGCTCAAAGATTCACCTCGGTAACTGCACTTAATACATTGCAGGACCTACCTCCCAATGAATGAGTGCGTACAAACCACATAACACGAACCAGTAGCAACACTGAGGTTAGTGTTATCTGTATATCAAGATCAAGATTCCAATTCTAGCACTGAAATCAGACCTTACGAAAATCTCTAAGACGCTTAATTATTAGACACAATACTGAAACAGTTAAAGGGACAGATGTCGGAATACCTACAGTACAATAAGCCAGAGGTTGACGTGCATTATGCCAAATTCAGGCAGCCGGAACCACTAATCTACTCTAACGTAATCTAGATTCTAGATATTATATACCGTACGAAGTGTTTGGCTATCATGCATAGTATAAGAAATGGTAGGAATGAATAGTTCCTTATTCGATTATTAGGAGCAGCTAGGTACCGGTTGTTGTTTCCAAAACTCGTATTTCATCGATGGCATTCGCCTGTAAAACATTGGCAGTCAAATTTCGGTGAGAGTATAATATTCCCTTAGGCAATCCGGTTGTTCCACTAGAAAAGGGCATTAATGCAATATCGCTGCTCTCCAAATACACGTTCACATCCAAATTGGCCGGAGAGTCAACCAACTCTTGAAAGTTAATCGCTGTTTCTGGTGTTGCATCGGTTTTCTAAAACAATTGTGTTTACCATGAGGTACTACCTAACCCATTTACATTTTAAATCAATTTTATTTAAACAAATTAAAAATTAAAAATTTCTAAAGATTAAAAATTCATAATAAATAATAAATTCTTCCATGGGTGATCGCAGTTGCAAGCGTCCCCAGTATAGCAATACTTATTCTTTGTCGTATTTAATTTAATTTATGGGAAATTGAGTAGTAGAGACTTAGTTTTTACCTCTGTCTTGATTGTTAAAATTGGCATATTCGGTACGGGAATTGACATTTTCGCTGTATTGTATAGGGAGCATGTGGTAATAATCACTTTGGATCCGGAGTCGTTAAGCTGCCTACGTAATTCATCTGGAAACAAATCAAAAATTGTACCTACCTATTTAGCATATAATAGAAAAAAAAATCGCACGTAATTAGACTAAGTCTGGGAAACGCAGAACTGAAAAAACAAAAAAGTTGCGGGGTTAATTAATGGCGGTGGCCCAAATGCAATTCGTGGAGATGGACGAATCGGATTAAAGATGGCTAATTTAATTACTCGGTGCTATTTTGTGGGTACTTTTTAAATCAAAAAAGGGTAGGGAGTAATCCAGAGTAGCGTTTCGAGGGGGTTCGGATTTTGGACGTCGAGACAGTCACGCACAGTGGTCCTGAACTTGTCTCTCTTTCTGGGCCTTTCTTGAACATTAAAGTTCCCGCCAGTTTTTCCGCAAAATTTACAGTTAAAAAAGTGCGAAACCTGCAAGCGGATTAAATGTATACGGTGAAAAGTCAGCCGAGCGGAAACGTATCAATGGAATTTACACCTAAAATTATTATTTTTGGTTAGAGGGAAAAGCAGTTTTAAGCCGAGCGACCGTTTTCCGACGGAATTTAATTAAACCTGTCGTTTGAATATACGACCAAAAGGATTATTGTGAACGGCGTTAGTGTCGCCGTGAACAAAAAGAAAGGGTCGATTCTCTTAATTAGGACTTGTAGCAAACATCTTGAGCGAATGTGTTCTCACCATTCGCAAGTTCAATCCATCTTAAAATTAAGTTATTTCAATTCTCGCCACAAGGTTAAAGTAGTTAGAGCGCCTAGGTAAAAGTAACAAGAAGTTGGTGAAAATTTGGTCACTTATTCTCTGAGAGACGCACTTTCTAATGGTCAAAAGAAAAAAGTGTTCCTATGTGCCGTTTCTGAGATATTTGACAGTAAAAACAGGGTATTTTAACATGGGCTCTTATGGATAGACTCAGTTTTTCTGAGCTAGCGAAGGTTTTTGTATCAAAACTTAAATGAGATGGGTCTCATTAGAAGCGAAATTTTGTGACGAATCTAAATATGCACGGAAAAGTACATGTTCATGATGAAATAAGGAAGATGTTTACCGCCGGAGCGGCGTCTGCTTTGACGCGGCGGCAAGCTATGCAGCACGCGTTTAAACCTGATGACTTTTCCACTAGGTCTAGTATATAGCTGAGCTAGGACAATCTTTTCCTTCTTCTGCTGAGCACTTTTCTTCACAAAAGGCATGGTGTCTTTCAGAAAGAACACCAAAACCAGCGATATTTATAAAGGCCTGCACACGTCTTGTTGACACACTGATCGGATCGAGATCAAGATAGCGGCTGGGGATCTCTGGCGCCAACATCGAAAAACCAAATCCACTACACCGACTTCACGTAAAACGCCAAATTATTGTTTCCAGGCTTTTACATACGTCTCGCATACGTTTTGATTAAAAATAAATATATTCGTTTAGGATTTACCGCTTACACTGTGAATATTTAGTCGCGGTGTGTCGTCAACATTTAGTGTGCAAAGGTTTGAAACAGGGTCGAAAAGTAGGGAGACTCGTCAAGTTGACTACTGTATATACCTTTTTAAAAATCATGATTCATGTGAGACGTTTGCATTGTGCTGAGGTACAAAATACAACTCATACCGTATTTCTAATTATGTTTCCTTCATAACAACGTTTTTTTGGGGACGTTTACCGTAAATAATAGGTAGGCCGAGTACATCGCTTGACTTCAGCCGAACGCGCTCTAACTACTTTAATTAGGACTTGTAGCAAACATCTTGAGCGAACGTGTTCTCACCATTCGCAAGTTCAATCCAAGGTTAATGATGTGTAAGGATAGATAAAGTGAAACAGTTGAGTGTGCATTCTAATGACATATGTCATTCTTATTTCAAATGCACGATATAAAATGACGTCCAGAACATATGACAAATCTGTTTCTATAGCAAAGTACGCGATGGCAGAACCTAAGCTTGCTACTTTTGACGTCTCTAAATTAAATTCAGAATTCTCAGAAGCTTTACAATGATATGTATGGCTTCTGATATAAAATAAAGTTTTGTATTATACACGACGATAAATGGAAACTATCCATCTCGTGAAAGTTAATTCACTCAATGGTTAAAATATCCCTTTATCGTCTTGTAGGATTTTAAATTGCACTATAAACTGTCCATACTTATTAAGAAATATAAACATTAATGCGCCATCGCGAACATTACGTAGTGCACCTATATTTTATGTACCCTATCATAAAACAAGATACGGGCAAAATCATCTCCCATTTCTAGGATGTGCACCTCTGCCAACACTCTTTGCAAGAATTTTAGCTTTTTTGGTTTGCCTATATCTTTGTTTAAAAATTATTATTTATAGAAAATCGATCTCTCTTGGAGTAACCATATTAGTTTTAATATTTCCGTCTTGTAGGTATATCGTTTGTGTTAGTTTTATGTAGTTGTTTAGCTTTTCTAATAAATTAATTAATTAATTAATTCTTATAAATCGCACGTTAAGTTATTCCTTAGTGCTGTTCGACTCACTTACGCACTGCTTTTCACGTTTCGTTTTACTTATAGGTATGTATTGATACGTATATATTTTGTTATAATGGTCAACCGTAAATAAATAAATAAATTTCAATAACAATTTTGATTGGCAATAGATAATAAACACCGAAAGTTCAATGGCAGCGTATTTCCGTCGAGCTCGTCAATTCCAAAGAAAACCCTGAAACCATTGAATGCAGCCATGTCTCAAATCCAATTCGTCGTTATCCATTGGTCAATTTCGAAGGGCCATACCGTCTGGTATTGTATGAAAACCATCGCCTCTAAACAATATTCTCTATGAGGTACTGTGATTTTTGATTTGTATAAAATTAAGGGTTGGTCCTCTTTAAGAAAAATTTGCGTAAAACATATTTAAGTAACATTGTCAACTTTCGGTTTTCTTAAAGGTTGTAAATAGAAAAAAATGGATAGTGACTGTAAGTAGGTAACTCTAATAATCTCTTTGCAGAAAGAACTATCATGAAGTATTATATGTTCAAAATGCTCACCGTGAACTTCTTGGTAACACATTTTATTTAAGAACTGTGGCGAATTTCGGTAATCAGATGATGTTATCTTTTACCTGAATTTTTGCAATAAATTTGAAAATTAACATTTTTAGGCAGAAGAACCTCTCAAGCGATATATCACAAGCCCTTACATCCCATTTAGAGAATTGGGGAGAGTAAAATTGTCATTCTGAGGAGGTTGAAGGTAGAGATCACATTTTCACGTTGAAGAACGTCAATTTATCATCTAAATTTGACGTGATTTTGGGATTTTGTGTGCGTACACCAACAGAAATAATAAATTTATTCCATTTCCACAGTCCACATTATTAGTTACGGTTTAGAGGTAGTTAGACTTCCCTAAATGGGAGCTATTGCGGTAAGGTAGATTCATGGGAGTGAGATTTTTTTTGGTTACTCTTTCGGGGTAACCACTACACTTTAAATTTAAAAAAATGTCATAACGCACTTACCTGACGTTGCCAAAGGACTGATGGTAGTTATAACTAAATTTGCCTTTAAAAGGCCTAAAGCGCATATCGCAAACTCGGGAACATTGGGAAGAAATACTGCAACTACGTCACCTTTGCGCAGTTTAAACTTTTTGATAATCGCTTGGCTCAAGTTTAACGCCTTTCTTCTAATTTCTTCGAAAGTATACCTTCTGCCCGTCACATGACACTCCTGTTGTAAAAGGATGATCTTTCGAAGATGGTTAGTAGCTATAACAAGATGCTTACCACTGCAATTTTCTCTGGAAATCTTCCACATCTTTCAAAAATAATATCCGGTACTGTTGCGTTGGGAATGTCAATGTTTGGAAGTGGTGACGGAATGATATATGAATGATGTGAATGAAACCGTTTTCGAATTTGAAATTTGAGTGTGCTCCTCAATGACCTTATACTTAGGATTTTAAGATACATTATGCTGGTCTTCTATTGATTAAGCAGCTTGACTGTATAGTGGATGACTGGATGGTGAGCTACTTTTATAACTTGTGAACTGCCATTTCGCATTAGGTTGATTGTTCTAAATTGTTTTGTACAATGCGCACATGAATTATTACTTAATTCAAGTTTTCTCACAACCAAATGTTATGATTACAAAGTAACATTCATATATTATTAATGTAAAATTATTCATAAACACCATACGAAAAACCGTGTTAATTGTCCCAACTACACATTTAATAAATTAGTAAATAGCTCGAGTAGGATTTAGATGACATGTCGTGACTGTCTAAATTTCACATCGTCCATGTTAACCTCTGGCTTATTTTTGCTGTCGGTGTGTTCAAATCTGTATTTCAACATCTGTCCCTATTATATCTGCATCAGGTTCGAGGTTTCTGACTGTGGATTCCAGCCCCTAGCCTGTGTTTTTTCGTTTCCAATGTGGGACATTCGATATGTGGTAAGCAGTTTCGTCCTTCGAACAGTCTGCAAGTTAATTCATCTCTATATAGATGCCAAATCTTCGGCTGTCGGCATGAATGTTCTAAACCTCCAACTCTGGTCAACAGGCTGACGATTTCCCCCTTTTTGCGATCGCCAGCCTTCGTACTGTATATGATTTCCATCTATTCAAATGTTGTTCTTACTGAGTCGTGGGTAATACGTGTCATGTTTTAGGAGAATTTTTCGAATTCGCCTTATGTAATGGTTTTGTCCGTCCATCTGTTGCTCGTCTAACTCGAGAACAAAAAGAGTCACCAATATTTTTATTTATTTTTTTGCCTTTATTGGGTATCAAACCTTCACCAATGGATTTGTACGAGTTCAAAGATCAGAATGAACTGAACTAATAAACTTCGTGTTTCCGAATGCGAGCTGTGCGCAAAAAATCCTCTACTAAAAATCGTATGGGATTCTTCGTATCTTGTTTTGTATACCCGTCCTCGGTGCGAGGTTCATAAAGCAACTGCGAGCTTCAACGTTTGCAAGTTTGTCTTTACCGCATTTTTTAAGAAGTAAAAGAAATGTTTGCGTTTTGTCCGTGCGTCCGTCCGTCCGGACCCACTTCTGCCGTTTTGAACTACTTCTAGGGGAATGGTCTTAGAGTTGTAATGTACTTAACCCCCAGGTTCTACACTAACTTCACACTACAAGAACACGGAAATAAAGTCAACCCGGCAGCGTTTAAAAATGGCCACCCGAATGACTATTCCCTCCAAAACTAAACAAGATCCCGCTTAAATTTGAAAAGTGGCACGTGATAAAACATCTAAGGCAGGCCCCCCTTACGTTTGTTGTAGACAACGCTTTGACCTGAAGCACAGTAGGGAAGGGAAGGAACGTTAAATAAAACACTGAAATTGTGAAAAGTTTGTTTAATAATGATCGTAATTATTAAGATTGTGAAATCCCGGAAATTTAGTTGATGTACATTAATATCAACAAAGCAAGCAAAGCCAAAAGGTGCCCTACTCTCGCAAAAGGGTAAAAAGAGTACGAGATAAGAAAAACCTTGCAGTTTGATTAATACAGTCCAAAAGTTAATTAACAAAATATTTTGTAAACGTTTAAGCAGTAGTTAACAAAGATAGTAAATGCATATATACAATGTTGGTTACACTCAAGGTTAAAAGCAAGTTTTTGGGAACAATGGGCCAGGTAGTAGCAGGTACCTAAATTCTGAGAAAGGGTTACGAGTACAGGATGTGACTCATCTTTGGTGCAATAAAGTCCTTTTGTTAAAAGCAAGATGGAAAATTACATGGCCTTGTAGGCAAATTTAACTAAAAACAAGATATGTGGAAATTATTGAATCGCCACCCATTTATCGCGCATAGATTCTAAACTGAAGAGCTTTGATTAGCGTAATCCCGCTCCTGCAAGATGAGTAGCCCGCCCCTGGTTTCGAGCCTACAGTTGGATGTTGAAGACAATCACGGAATTAGGTGCCGTACTACAATTTTGGCTACATTTTTTTTACCACCCCCGTGACTGCTTCATTCACGGAGAAAATTGTTAGTAACAAACAACAAGTCAGTACATACCTCAAACGAATTGGTGATTTCCACATATTAAAATACAATGATCAAAACTTATATGAATGTAACTTCAGAGACAAGACCATGTAATTAATATCAATAAACATAAATTAAGCAAACATTACACCAAAAACGTAAACAATTACAAACAATAGCATAACGGTATCACACATGTGATTCTGCATTACGGTTAAACCAAGTAAATTTCAAAAACAAAGATTGAAACACACACAAAATTTAAAAAAATGCGGCATACAAAACACAAATACAATATAAAGAAATGCAAAAACTACTACTGCATTAAATAACACAAAATAACAACAAACATTCATGGAGCGACGCGTTCACCATCGCCATTCAAGACAAGATGCCAAACGTAACACCCGTTCGTGCTTTCTAGGTGGCGCAGGCAGCTTTTCCTCACCTAGAAATTAAAATTAATTTGATCTCTCATTGTATTCTAATTAAATGTCTCGACGAAAGGAACCGTTTTCTACCAACTACTGCCCTTCTTTCTGTCCTATTATCAAAGTACGGGGGGAGGGGAAGGGGGGGGAACTAGTTTTATCCTTCATGGTACTCTAATGAAAGGTCTTAATGAAAGGAATTAATCTCTACCAACCATAGCCTCCTCCTCGACCTCTTATCGTGATCGGGTAATTCCCATAACCTCAACAACGGATTGTCGGAAGAGGGTACTCACAAAGAGCGATTGAGACGTTTGCAAGAAGCATGTTCATTGGTGATATCAAAACCAAAGCTATTTCGGTTAAAAAATGCGCTTTATCTGCACAATTTATACTTGTTTCGCTTACCCTGGTGTCCTGGGATCCAGCATAACTTGACGCTGCGCTGTTGTGCGGGCTGCGGGAATGGGATTGTACCGGGTGACAAAATAAGACTGGCCATATCTCGGGAACCATTCGTCGTATGACTTAGGGGTAAAAACATTATTGGGTAAATCGGTTATGAAGAATCGCTGGAAAATATTTTCAAGTTTTAAAAATGACCACCAGAGGGCGTAACTGCTATCTTAAAATTTAAAATTGCATTTTCTTTAAATTTCGCATAATAAACTAAACAATCTTTTTTCAGATTTTAAAAGAGAACCAGTTTATATATCATTTTCGTAAAAACAAAAACTCAGTTATTTCAAAAACATAGATGGCGTGGGGCGTTCAATTGTTTATGCAATAACCTGCTTTAACTTCTTAACCGTTTGACGTATTTTAACAAATTTGGTATCGTTGAAAAGAGCATTCCTTGGGCCACAAGAATACCTATAGTTAATTTAGTTGAATCCTTCTCCGCCAGGGGGCTAGTTTTGACACTATGATCCTAAATCCTAAAAAAATAAAAAAATCAAATGGAACGGTATGACCTTTTCTTTATCACAAAGTAGCCAAATAACACCCAAAGAGGCCAGTGAAAACCGTTTTGCAAAATCTCGTTCCTAACCTCAAATATTGGCAAAATGAGATTAATTAATTAATTAATAAAAATGCTTAAATTGTATCTTATTTGACGTATTTCCGGTATTTGTCGATGGCGCGAAAGTTTGTTTGGAACAGGACCCTACGCTTTTAGGTAGGCCTTGGAAAATTAAACAAATGAAGCACGATGCATTATAAAATAATAACAGTCGTAATTTGTAAATTATTCTGCTGTGTTTACGTTCAGAAAGAGTAGTTTTTTGAATTTGTGATCTTTTCTAAAATGCCGATTTCTAACCAAGAAGAATTTAATATGCTGGCGGCGATGGTTCGTGGTTGATTCGGATAACGCAAATAGAAGATGTGGGCAGCGATGGTCGCATTTTGAAAATACTCAAATATATCGCTAGCATATTAAATGCTTCTTGGTTAGAAATCGGCATTTTAGAAAAAATTACAAATTCAAAAAACTGCACTTTCTAAATGTAAACACAGCAGAATAAATTACAAATTACGGCAATTATTATTAACGAGCTCTTAGCGAGTTTATAATTTTGAGGTGTCTGTCCGTCCGTCCGTCCGTCCGTTAGCACGATAATAAACGAATGGACCGATTACAATGAAATTTTGCAGGTGGATTCTTTATCAAATTTGTAGACCGGAGTTCGTGAATTAGCAATGTAGCCCAAAAAATAAAGTAGGCCCTTTTGACATCTCCGTTAGTTATGAACCGAATTGCATGAAATTCAATATGCGCATAGCTTTAGCCATATAAAACACAATTCCAAAAGTTGAGCCTAATCGATCAGCATTCACAGTGCCCTTTGCGCATCTCGACCATTTACAGACTGAATTGCAAACTTTCTTATTTATGAAGGTATTTAAATGAAATTAGATACATAGCCTCTTGGAATAAAAGCAAATTTAACGCCAGTTTCAAAATTTGGTTTTGCGCATACGCAGTGCCAACTTTCTTATTTATGAAGGCATTTAAATGAAATTTGATACATAGCCACTTGGAATAAAAGCAAATGAAGCGCCATTTTCCAAATTTGGTTTTGTGTAGGATGTGCAGTGCCCACTTTCTTATTTATGGAAGCAATTAAATGAAATTTCATACATATACACTTTAAATAAAAGCAAAACTTACATCAGGTTTAAAATTTGGTTTTGCACATGCTATAGCCATACCCAGGAGCTCGTTTGCTACATTTGTTTAATTTATTTTATAATGAATCGTGTTTCATTTGTTTAATTTTCCAAGGCCTACCTAAAAGTGTAGGGTGCTTTTCTTTCGCGCCATCGACAAATACCGGAAATACGTAAAAAGTAAATTTAAGATACAATTTAAGCATTTTTATTAATTAATTAATTAATTAATTAATCTCATTTTTCCAATATTTGAGGTCAGGAACGAGATTTTGAAAAACGGTTTTCACTGGCCTCTTTGGATGTTATTTGGCTACTTTTTCATAAAGAAAAAGTCATCCCCCCATCATTCCCATAGTCCCATAGCCCCCCCCCCTAAATCCGGTACTGCTTTAGGTATAAAATTACAATTTATTTAAAGGTAAAATTGCATAAACGAAATACGTATTAATATGTCAAAGACGCTTTACCTAACATTGTAAATGGTGTTACAAAGTAGAAAATTAATACTTATATTGTTCTTTCAAATAGCACTATGGAAAATAGTTCTGCAGTCGTAAACAAAGTCTGTTTCAAAAATTACACCACACATTATTATTGGTTGTACTAAATGACCAATATAAAGAAATAGAAATCAGGCACCACGCGTTCCAATCGAGTGCATGTAGTCTAATTTGAGTTTCCTGCGCAATAGTTTTCCCATAATGTTCTTCGGTAGATAGTCCACAACCACAATACCCCCTTTAATATCTTTATAGTTTGATACTTTACTAGACACAAACTGTTTCAATTCGTCCGTGTTTATTTGGGAGCCCGATTTTACAGTGATGTACGCCCTTGGCACCTCTCCGTACCTTTCGTGTGGTATGCCAATGACGGTCGCATCTGAAACGTTGCTATGGCTACGTATTACGTCTTCCAGCTCGGCGGGCGACACCTGATATCCTTTCACTTTAATTAAATCTTTTAGACGATCCACAATGTAAAAGTTTCTATTGTCGTCGTAGTAAACTAGATCTCCCGTTCGCATCCATCCATCGGTGAACGCTTTGGAGTATTCTTCTGGCCTATTATGGTACCCATGCATGAGCTGTGGTCCTTTGAATAGTAACTCGCCCTGTTGGAAAGGTTGTTGGTCTGCGTTCGGCGCGTCTACCGCAACGACTCTGATTTCGGTATTAGGAAGCGGCGCGCCAACAGACCCTTGGTTTTCACTATGTTTTTGACTTGAGGTAACTAGACCAGATTCGCTCGTTCCAAAACCTAAAATAAATTATTAGTGGATGTGGATGCGGAATTTTTTACCTTGCACCACGCATACGTCCTTGCCAACCTTTCGAATGAATTGCTCTTGATGGGCAGCCGAAAGAGGAGCCGAGGCTGATGCTACCATACGCACCGATTCTAAGTGATTGCGTTTGATGACTTCACTGTTTGTCATGAATGAAACTGAAAACGTTAATTATCATCAGCTAATTATAAGTCTATGTCCTCACTTAGGGTAGGCACCGCGAAAAGGGCCGTCGGCTTGTACCTTTCAAGTATATCAACAAATACATTTGGTTTAAACTTCGGAACGGTTACAAGCTTTGACATATTCATAAAACCATTGAGCATCAAAATTACCAGACCGTACATATGTATAAAGGGTGGTACAGCAGGAACAATGTCTTGGTGGTCAGCTAAAAAATAAAATTGAACTTTGGCGAGTGTTAGCGTACCCAACCTGTTGCTGTTTCGAGAATTTTTACTTCATGAATATTTATTTGACTTAAATTTGCAACTAAACTACGGTGGGTATGGAGAACGCCTTTAGGAGAACCAGTTGTTCCACTCGAATAAGGCATTAGAGCGACATCAGTACTTCCCATATCCTCATCAAGTTTCAAATCCAAAATGCAGTTAGTAAATTCCTGAAAATTAGCCGATCCTGCCGGTATTGCGTCAGACCGCTGAAATTGAAATTGAAATGTATTGAAATCGATATAAATGCATAAGCAAACGTGTTTAATTGTGTACCAGGAATAGATAAAAAAACAAGGTTGAAGAAAAGTAGAATAAACTTCAGTCCGTGAATTAATTTACATGCATGATGTAAATTAGAACATTTGGATATCGTTTATACGCTTATTTACGATAACGGTAGGTATAACCATTGAATAACGTAATTTTTCACTCACGGTATAACACAACACTGTTAATCAGCCCTGTGGTGTCTCAGAAATATCTGCCAAAAAACGTTATTTTAGTATGGGCAAAATAACGTTTTTTACAGAATATAAGATACCTAACCTACAGGTTGAGTTTAAAGTTAGTGATATATCACATGACTGAATTATCATTTTATTTAATTATGCTGTGACATACATCATATTTATGTATTCTAATTAAAATTGCTGCCTTAGTAACTAAGTTTCAAGTTCACACGCTCTATCTATTTACCTCTTACCTCTGTTTTGATGGATATTATTGGCACATCTGGTGTCGGAAGTGAAGCACTCGCTAGTGGATGTAATGAGCATGTGGTAATTACAGCCCTCGTGTTCGAATCTGATAGCTGGCGCTTAAGTTCTTCTAAATCAGAAGTAAGAAGTTTATTTTAGTGACCTAACAATTTTCAAAAATGTTTCAAGCAAATGTAGGTGATATTACTTAGATTAACAAAAGTTTTAACTTAGTGTTTCATTAACCTTTTTGTATGTTTGGGTGGCCTCTTAACACTATTTAAATTCGTAAAATGGGAAGTTGCGTGTACAAAGAAACACATCAAAATGACACAGCTGAAATACCAGTAATTTAACACTACATGTACAGATGAGAACGCAAGCAGTATTCATTTTAAGGTCGATTATTCCAAACAAAATCACATACGAAACGGAAGAAAAGGTAATTAGAGAGTCCCCTTCTCATATTTCTAAGACACAAGAGCTGCACGAGATGAGGAAGCAACATATACAGCGAAGAATCGGAACTGTACATATTAGGTACTCCCTCCTATTAGTCGAACATGTAGGGCAGCATCATACAAATAATATACTTTCACATGAATACATAAATAAATGCTACACGTACATAGAAATAAAATCTGTGCAGAACGGTCGCAGTTCAAGACATCACCATTGCTGTATAGCCAGAACATTTCGTATTTTTCCCATACAGCTAGTTATCCTGTCAGATGTTAGGTGTGTTGTCTATAACCGTGGGGGTAATCAGATAATTTTATTATTTTATGTTAATTTTTGCAATCGATTTAAAAACAATAATAATATTTTTGGATAAAGAATGAATTAAGATACCTTTTATGGTCACAATATTTTGGCGACCGTAACAGGACTATTTTTGATGGTGTTTCGAGAACTAACTATGGGAGAAGAAAGAGTGCTATTGAGCATATACGCGGATTATCGATTTTTTGTAGTTTTTGATTGTCATAGATGGATACCCTGAAGAAGAACGCGGAGTTTTACGAGCAAGTTTTACCAGATTTGCAAATGATCTGGAAAACCAGTTGAACGCAGCCGAGGTGGATCTTATTACAAGGGAGCTTGTTTTAGGTGTTTGAAAACAGGACATCAGGCGCGTAAATGTCGCTTTCGAGTATGATGCACCACTTGCAATAAAACTAATCTTCAGGTAATGTGTCCCGATTCGGCAGCGCGTAAGGTTGCGACGCCTTCGAAAAATCAAGGAACAGATGTTAACGTTAAGAATGTTAATATTGATAAAGCTCTGTCCAGCAATATTAACGCATTTTGGGTTGTCAAAGCAGATTATTTTATTTCGATTATGTGTCAATATAGCGCAATAATAAAAGAGTTGTTGACCTTCTAGTTTGATTCGCGACCATCAATTTCTCCGGGGTCAATGCAATACCACCCTCATTCTAAGGGTATTAAATTTAGGCATGCAATTTTTACACACAATGGTGTAATTTTAAAGTAAAAATCGAATGGTCTCAGGATTTTTCCCTGCAGTTAAGAAATACTGTATATTGAAAACAACATTTACTACTGCAACTGTTTTTAGGGGAAACTTTTCGAAAGAAAACAATTCCCCTTACGTGATGGTTTTGTCCGCCCGTATGTTCCTCGTCGAACTGGGGAACGAAAAGAGACAGCTATGTCAAATCTTCACAAATCGATTTCTACGAGTTCAATTGCTATTGAATATGAGCCGGATTATAAGTCTAGTTTCCGAATGCGAGCTGAGTGGCAAAAAATTCCCCTACCAAAAATCGTCTGCAATTCTTGTTGTAGCATGTTTTAGTATACCTACGTCAAATGCAAGATTATATGAAAAACTTGATGAACTAGGAGAATCAGTGGATAACGTAGACAATGATGCATGCGTAGGTATATGTATTGGCAATGGTATCAACAGAGCCTACCCTACCCGTTATGATTGTAAAAGAAATAATGTGAAAAGATGGTAACAATGATCAAAGTTATTAAAAAATTAGAAAAATGAGAAAAAAATAATGGACGCTGAAATCAAATGTATACAGATACTGAGAATTTTAAGCTCCCAAAAGTGTACAACCGCAGCACTGAATAGACTTATTCCTCCCACATTTCGCTGGGGTGAAATCTTACTTTATTATTTTTATCTTGAGTACCTATATGGTTTCTAAGGGATGTATCGGTATCTTGATATTCTAAAATCTCTTCCAGACTTTAAACGCAAGCGTTACTGCTTTCAAAAACAATACTATAGAGGGAATGTCAGCTCATTACTACGTACTAATAAAATTAAAACCAATTTTGGCAACAATTGATCCTCCCACTACACCTAAGGAAATCTAAATTACACCACAGGCTTCGATTTCAAGTTGATGCACGTGTTTAGAAGATACAAATACTCGATGGTTGATCTGTGAATATAGCTAACCTCTAGCTAGAACAATGCATATAGCTTGGTGGGAAATTCACCATTTCAAATGTTAGCGAAAAGTCTAACTTCCCTTAGATTCTACAAAATGTAAGAGATCAAACTTTGAAAATGAATATGATGAATATATTTTACATTAGGTAATTTTATGGGTTTGTTTGTGTACATAGAAATGGAAATATCGCTTTTAGGTAGGTATTTTACGCTGCAATGAAATAGCTTACCACATTTACATATTATGTATATCACTTAATTTAATTATACATTTTCTGAAGCTGTTATTAGTTTCTGTTTAGCTCGGATCTGCGTTGATTTAATCGTTTATATGCATAGATTTACAAGTCTTTTACTTGCAGTAGGCAGGTACTTTATAAGGAAATTATTGTGACACCATGTTACTTTCGTATTTAGTGTTTCTAAAAGACAAAAATTTAACTTCCAAGAAAATTTAATTAAACCAGTAATAAATGTATCCAAGATATATAAGTAAACAACATTTTTTAATATGTAAGGTGAAATAGTTCGAATAATTCGAACGAGGGGGGCGTCAGAGGAACGGATGTTATAGAACTCCGTTTTGGACAAACACCCAGGATGGGTCGACATTAATTTTAAAAAATATAAATTTATCAGTTACCTGGTGTATTCAAAGGACTTAGTGTAGTCGCAATCAAAGATGATTTTAATATTCCCAAAAGACAAATTCCAAATTCCGGAATGTTCGGTAGCAGGATCGCCACCACGTCTCCTTTCCTTAATTTCAATCTTTTCTTCAACGCTCTGCTTAAATTGAGTGATTTAGTTCTAAGCTCGTCATAGGTATATTTTCTTCCAGTACTCGCACATTCCTATTTTGAGAAATGTTTACACTCACTGATTACAAGTCACTTACCGTAGCAATTTTATCAGGAAACTTTCCGCAATTTTCAAAAATGAAATCCGGTACCGTGGCGTCGGGAATTTCAATTTTTTGAAATGGGGATTGCACTATGCAGGGTTTGGTCGAGTAAAATTTTTTTTTAATACCAATTTTTATTAGTTCTCTTAAGGAGGTTGGCGAATTATTCAGCGCAGTACGATACATTTTGATTAAGACTTTTCACGCCACTTGTATCAGTGATACTAAAGAAGTTCTTCCACATTCTTATTTTATAACAAGGTCGCACATTAATTTGTAATTAATAATCCAGAATACTGGGTAGGTAACTTGCGCGTGATAAAATAATGTCCAGCAATTCAATGGATGAATCTGAAAGCAAGCTAAAAACACATTATTCAATGACTTAACATAGTCTCATAACGAAGCTATCATTACCTACATGTTCGAGGTTATATATAATTCTCATAAACTAGTTAATAAAAGCTCAATTGGTATCAAGCAAATATCACACGTCTTAATATCGATAACAGCATAATTAGTGCGTAACTTTTTATGTCGAGTAAAATTTAAATTCGACGAACTTTAGGCGTGCAGGTCCCTTCGATTGGAACACCTTATATGTAATCAACACCTTTTTAAACTGGCGGGGTGGCTGCTATAGTACATTTCCAGAATCATCACCTCATTGGTGAGGTAACATATGGGAATCTCCTTGGCGGATACGTTTGTACAATGGAAGAAGTTTATTACGTACATAGGTAATGTCAAAATGTAGTACCTACTCGAGGGTTTCAAACGATCGCCTTTTAATTGAATAGATATTTTTCCTTCTGCAAGATGTTGAATTGACTGCCAAAAAATATAAATTGTGTCTTTACTGTATTCACATTGAGATATTGATCTTTTGCCGTATTTACAAACGCGAGTATATCTCTGTTAATAGTCTGCAATAGCAATGGTGCTGATTTGTTTAGAACGTTTTTTATTATAAAATATAATTGAGTATTGACAGTCATTAGCATATATGTACTATATTTACTGCCTAATTTTAAAGAGGACTCTAATTTTACGGCATAGATTGAAAATAATATTGGCCCGAATATTAGTCCTTGAGGAACACCACAAGTTATTGCTGCCAGGGTAGAGGAAACTCAATCCACTACTACTTTCTGATACCGATCAAATAGGTAATTTTTAATTAACTGTGTTGCAGAATTCCCAAAACCGATATAATAGAAAATTTTAAACGAAGATTATTTTTTTGTATCAAGCGCTCTCGAGAACTCTACAAATGATTGCGTTTTTCATCACCTAGTCGTTTGTATAATGTCAGTAATTCTTAAAACTTAAAAGGGTTGTAGTGCAGCTATATCTTCGTCTAAAAACAGATTGAATATCATGAAGTAGATTATATTTATATATCTGTCTGAAACTGAATGTTCTTTTATCTACTTATGTGATTTTAGAACACGTTCCAAGGTTTTTGATACAGTTGGAAGAATATTGCTTATAGAACTATTTATTCTAATATATTTTTAAAGTAAAATCTTTCACTGAACTGATATTTTTTATTAGATCAGTAAAAAGTATAAGTCAAAATTCAAAGTACATGCATTTAATGGAGTTAATAAAAAAATACTTATTTAAGTTATTAACATTATGTTATCATTGTACCATTCAAATAAATTATTTATCAATAGGTTGAAGAAATCAATTAAATTTATTTCAAAACAGTCTACAATCTAGTAGAATGGCGTACTCGCGAAATCGGACTGGAAATTGGACTGTTAAATTTTTTTTATAATCTCTATATCTTATTGACTTGCGTTGAAATGTTTCATCTATTTTTATGGTCGGATATTGTGTAAAATTTACGTAGATCTACGATGTCTAATTTTTGTTTAGTCGTATTGTAACTTCTTTTTTTTTGTTTCTTTAATTGTTAATTATTTGTGCTATATGAGTTTATCTCATGTCTTTCTCCGCTTATCGTTGCGATAAGAGTTTGCGTTATCGCTTAAAATTAATTAATTGGATTGAAGGGTTTTAACGTATCCGGTTACCTCTTTTGCCATTGGCCTGTGGCCACCATGGCCCTGTCGCGGTTTGCCTGTTATTTTGCCGTCGTCTCTGTTTTTGCCGTGAGAGGCGTTTTTCATAAAAGTTTGAGTTTGTTTGGCCAGTAAAGTTCATAAAAGGAAAATTTAGTGAATTAAAAGGTTATGAGTGACGGAGTACGTTGGAAAATTTAAAATAATCAGAAGTCATTTTAGTGCTTATGATTCTGAGTTGTGCGCATCGGATTGGGCATTACAGAATGCAGTGTAAGCCTGGTTTTTGGAGTATGCGACAGTATCAAGGTAAAGACTTATTTTGACCTGTTTTGTTCTAGCGCTTGCATGCGTGGTTCTTTTGTCACTGGCACTGTCGTCTACCTGCTCTAGAACTGTACAATCCTTGATTTACAAAAATAAAGCGAACTGCGATACGTAAATGTATTAAAAGTGTTCAGGCGCGAGTCTAAAACTTTACAAGCAAGTAGGTAGTTAACTCGCCTTTACAGTACTTATATGTAATTTATATTGGTGGAATAAAATACGACACTATATTTCATAAATGACAATAAGGTAATACAACGAATTTTCTTCATTATTACACTACGACGCTAGTTCAAATATGTATACCTACAACAAGACAAACAGCGAATGAAAGTGGCAAAACTACAACGCGAAAGAACAATTGTTCTCAAATACCTTTATTGTTTACGCACTAAATGGATGCTTCAGTGTGTAATGGTGTGGTGCCGCTCTTGGGGTTAGGATATGGTTTGACACACACGAGCCGACCAAACTTCTGAGTGTGGCTTCTCGTTGATTGCTTCTACGATGTGAAATTAAAATTTGATACCTTGGTGTACTCTTTACGGATCGGTCGCATAATTCTGGGGCTGTTATTGGTGAACCCTCTACCCAACAACGCAGCTATCCCCCAAATGGGATTACGCCGGAATTTACCAGCGAAAGGTTTAAATACCGACCCGCGACCACGAACAGGCGTCGAAACCGGTAACGCAGTAGTTTCGTTGCCGACTGTTATACGGTAGGTTGTGGGTTCGAATCCCGCTGCCGACTGCTCTGTCTGGTGTTTTGTCAGAGGGATTTGCTCAGACGTACGTACCTTTTGCATAATGTTACCATTATGTTGAAATCTACAAGGCGAATGCTGGGGCAGTACTCTTCCCTCTTAGCACCCTAACTCCTTCCGTTCCCATCCTTAACTTTACCCACCTTACACTCCTGGCTGAAGAGGGTCAGGAAAACCTGAGCAGTCCGCCTCCGCGGTATCCCTCGGGGTACACGTTGACCGTGACCTATTTCTTTTTCCACAGGCATTCTAAGTTTTGCTTAGAGTTAAATACTTACACAAATTTAAACAAAAATGGACGGACAAGAGTCACAAAAAATGCATCAAATTCGTGTCTAGGGAATCGCAATAATCTTCTTGGTCTATTTCCCAACGATCTTGGTGCATGAATAACGATTTTGACATGTTTTGATGATGTGGCCCATATCTTTGAATCAAACATACGCGATTATTAAATGCGCATGTGATCTAGTCTTTCGGCATCAAGATAATGCGTTTAATGGATTTGAAAGCTCCAAATTCATGTGAAACGAATAATTTTGGGTACATTTTGCTTTAAAACTTTTGACCTAGATCACAGAGAGGAGTTATATTGAATTGTTACACATCTAAGACTAAAGTCCGAACTCGATACATGATCTAGGGAATAAAATATGTTGATTTATATTAGCGTCTGACCTTATTGTCGAAAGTACCCGTACGCCAAATTTCAACACGATCGATCACTTTTAAAGAGTTATAGCGAACGCGGACGGACGGACAACAATACAAAACAATAAAGGCTCTGAGAATTCTTAATAATGCACGTGTGTGCGTCTCGTAAGAAAGAAGAGAGCACTTCAAGCACTTCTTCGCAGCAGGGGTTTTATAATCTAATTTATTGGCGCATTATTTCTAATTACTGGAAGAAGGTTTTTGTTTGGTTGAGGTGGTGCTTCGTTATATCATTGAATAATAAGATTTATTATTCAATGGTTATATACTGCAGACAACGAAAACGAGGAAACAAACTAGGTGGTTCGTTACGGTTGGAAAAGAGTGTACATCTCTTTACGTGATTTATCCGCCCGATATGATTGATTGTCAAAACAAAATAACTGTTCCGGGGGCTACGCAGAACGGTCGAAGTTAAATGTTCTGTAAAATGTGTTGCCTAATCATAGGTTAGCAGAATTTACTGTAGGGACAAGAACGGCAACAGATTGAGCTAGAGGAGATAATTTTAAAAGAGAAAATAGGAAGGGAAAGCGCTGTAACGACATAAAGACGAAAAGTTGTAGATGCAAAAAGACAGTAGGCGTGGAGAATTACAGAAGAACGTGAGAACACAGAACAAATGAAAAAGAAGGATTCAATAGCATGGAAATATGTAAAAGAAGAGATAGAGAGACGAAAAGAATCGTATATGCAAGGATCGAAGGACAAGAAAAATAGGTACAGAGCAACTATGGAATAATAAAGGAAGGGAAAAATGGATTATTAGAAAAAAAGGGAGCAAAGTGAGGACTGGCGTTTGATATTATAGGAGGACGGTCCCTATAAAAATTGAGGGAAAAATGGACAAAAACGAAGCAACAGAAAAAGTTATACACAGAAACAAAATAGTACTTAACGATAAGGACAGGACAGGAGGAGGAAAGGAGTCAGACGTGTTTTGGAGACATAATGAACTTAAACAAAGGTGTATACTCCGTCAAACTCTAATTAACATGCATAACAAGCTTTCTGTCTTTCTTAATGTTGGCATAGATTTAAAAGAAGTACTGAGCTCTTGACTATTCGAAAAAAGTAAAATTAGGGAGCTACACGTACGTCATTGACAAAAGTAATGATTGAGGTCCATACTGGATGCCGATATTATTGAAAAAGCCCATCCAGTATGGACCTCAAACAATGAAAAAAGCTAAATGCATATCAAACATAAAAGTAATGATCGCCGAATAGGTAAATCCTGCAGCATACACAACCAACATTTGAATATATATTGTCCAACTTGGAAATGCGAACCAACAAATTAAGGCATCTCCTCCCTCAAGAAACCGACAGATCTTGTTGTGATAGATATGTCGGTTGCTTATGCTTCTGTTTACACAATTGGTGATAATTACTTTTGTCAATGACCGTACTTGCTTATAAACTATAAATTTAACAATAATAAATATGTTACAAATTGGAGCTTTGTTTCATTTCCTGCATGTACTGTAACTTAATATCTTTGCGCAAATACTTTCCAGATGCGGTTTTGGGTATTTTGTCCACGATAGCAAATCCTCCCGCTATCCTTTTATACTTGGACACTTTGCTAGCTATGAATTCGTCCAAATGTTGTAAATTTATCTTGGTATCAGCCTTTACGCTTAAATAAGCTCTGGGAACTTCTCCATACTGCTCATGAGGTATTCCAATGACAACCGCATCCAACACATTTGGATAAGTCCTTATCAGTTCTTCGAGTTCGGCGGGTGGTACCTGATAACCTTTTACTTTGATCAGTTCCTTTAGGCGATCTTGCACGAACATGTTATTGGCTTTGTCCATGTACACTAAATCACCAGTTTTAAACCATCCATCAACAAAGGCATCTGCGCTTTCTTTATCCTTGTTGTAGTAGCCTAACATAAGTTGTGACCCTTTGCATAGCAATTCACCTGGCTGGTTAGCACCTAAATGATCAGCCTTAGGATTGTCCACTGGGACAATTTTCATCTGTGTGTTTTGTATAGCTCGACCAACTGATCCGGACGGTATATCAACTCCTTGGTAAAACGCCGTTACAACCGGAGCTTCCGTTAAACCATAACCTGTTGGAGGGACCAGATAATCGGCAGCATGTTAATATTTGACCCTACCTTGATAAATCTTCAGGTCCTTTCCAGATCGGTTGACTAATTTCAATTCATCTGATGCGCCCAGGGGCGCTGCACCAGAGTAAATCGCCTCCAAAAACTCGAAGTGAGCCCTCGTCACAGACTCATTGTTCGCCATAAATAACACTAAAATAATCTCTCAAGTAAAACACAAAATAAGCGTTAACTTTACCTAGTGGTGGTACCAAACACATCGTACTAGGCTTATATTTTAATAAAGAGTCCAAAAAAAGTGTTGGTGTAAATTTCGATATGGTTATGATGTTCACTAAACTATAAAGTTGCGATAGTAACACCACGGTTAAGCCATAAATATGAAAGAAAGGCAGAACTGCCGGCGTGGTTTCTTGAAAATTATCTGAAATTCTATTAATTTTATTCTCTTCTCCATTGCTAATTATTACCTACCTGTAGTGTCTTTGAGAGGATACAATGTCTTACAACTAACTGCGACCACTGTAGCAATTAAAGTGTTGTGAGAATGAAGTACCCCTTTCTGTTTTCCGGTGGTCCCACTCGAGTAAGGAATGACGGCGATGTCGTGTGTATTACTAGGGCAGACATCATTGAGGTCACAGACGGTGTCGATCAGTTCTTGAAAATTGACCTTGCCTGGTGCGATGGTGTTCGTTACCTAAAATGGTGTAGGTATATACGTATACATTTTTGCAGAATTGATTTCTTTTACTTTCGCCTATACGCTAAAGGCGGGGCCGAGGCTACTCTATAAACGCAATCCAATAAGCTAGAGGGAAATTACAATGCTCTATGCAGCGCCGATGTTGAACTGAGAAAAAATTGGTCACACTTTGAACATGCGTTGTCGTAGCGTCCATAACAGCATGATTCGTAATGAAAACACCGCATTCTTCTTCTTAAATCCGCTTATCTTCGAAACAGCGTCAGGTTGCGCAAGATTGAATTTTCTTCAAATACCTCGGTTAGTACATATCCCCACATTCGCATTTCGAAGGAAAGATTTGGCATTGTCAGCACCAGCTCAGCCATACAAAGTATTTCCCGTGGTAGAAGAAAATAGAAAATATATTTTATTACTAGAAAGACCGTCAACCAATTGCAGCGCAACGCTGCGCCTTTTACGTTTAGCAGAGCTCAGTATACGAAAACTTGGCCATGCGATCACGTCGCGTGGGAAGCTCCACCAGCAATCTTTATAAATCAATCATCTACGTGGACTGCAGAAAAGAATTGAAGGGAGCACTGTAAGCCTTATAAAAGACAAAACTATCAAAATATATTTACGACCGAGTCGTTTCCGGCCGTCACTTTATGTTAGTTATTTTTAAAATCAAATAGGTACTTATGTAAAAAGTACGAATAGAGCTCCGAAGAGTTAAGTCGTGGAAACTCGATAGCAGAGTGGAAGTTAATAAAAATGTACATTGTTGTTAATGAGGTTCAAGTTTCACAATACTGCAAGATAATATATTTTCATTTAACAATGATTAATTGATGTGAAACGTAATGTGAGGACATGATTTAATTAAGATAAAAGCTGCCGCATTTACGCTCAATTTTATCACTCCATGAACATAAATTGAAGTAATTTAGATAAATTTTTACTGGTGACTGGTGAGAGTGGTTGTGAAACTTACGGTAGCTTAGTAATTAATAAATTATCCCAATTAAAGTGTTATATTACTTTGTATAATAAATTTCGCAATGTTTAATCCCGACTGTAGTTCACCCGAAATTTTCCGGTTTCCTGAGTTACAACATTTGAATGTTACCCCTAAATATTACTTTGCACACGAAAATTCGCAATTGTCTATACTTTGCGGTGGTTCGGCTTAAGATGCCGTGAATTTCTCTTCGATTTACTACTTTGAGTCACAAAATTTACTTGAGAATAGTATCCGGGCTGTTAATTTCTACAGGTTTTATAGGTACTTAACTCCGCCAAAATATCTTTTCTTGTTCTTCACGTTTTCAATCCGATACCCCTTTTGATGCGAAGCATTTTATACCAATCAAAAAAATTCCCCCAATTAAAATATACCCGTTTGACAACTATACATTTATTCCACGTTAAACGCTTTTCTGCACATTCAGCAGAATCCCACATCCCACAACTCTAAAGGTACCTTATCACCGCGCAATCAAAAGGTTAGGCCGTACTTATACAGGGAGCTCATTATGTATGGAATATAGTACCTATATACCTACCTCGGTAAATATCCACTGTATACAACATTCTTCTATATGAAAGTTGTTTTTACATTTTTTTTCCCCATAATAAGTAAGCATTCCATTGTTTTTATTTCAGAAAACAAATGAATAACGAAAAACAATTGTGATGTGATAGGTTGTGCCACTGTCTTACTGTTAATAGTGAAGATTTTGAACATTCATTGCGATGAAAACCATTTTACTAATTTCGTTTTGTCTGCAAGGTTGAATAAGAACCGTACACGCTCATTTGTTTTATTTTGATGTATACATCTAATTATAATAAATTTGTGTGAAAAATTCTCCTGAATAAGAGTACTAACATGTTATATCATCGAAAAGAAAAAAAAATCTCTATTAAATGAGCCTAATGAAAAGGTGCCTGCCATTAAAAAAATTTTTTGTTGTTTCTCATTTGTTTTCTGAAATAAAAACAACTGAATGCCGGCTTATTATGGGAAATAAAATGTTAAAACAATCTTCATATCTAAAAATTTTGTACCTATACATTCGATATTTACCGAGATATACATATACTATTCCATACATAATGGGCACCCTGTATGTATAAATTCCACTTCTCACACCAAACCTTAATAGTACTTTGTGTACCAAGGCGGGCAAGTGGATATTTTGCTGAGCGAAGGAGGGTCAGGCGAGACGTTGCCGTGACTTAATTAAGTTTTTTTGTTTGTAACGTACTATATCAACCGCTTAATAAGTTCGAGAGAACCAACCGCGATTGCCCGCGGGGAGTTTGCCCCAAAAAGAAACTCTCTACTTCGTCCCTACTTTTCCAATTTTTAAAGACTGCCTACAAAATGGCGTCAATAGGTTAACTGCGCATGCGAAAAGAAATGCCATATTTGACTCTTTCCCTCAACTATATTGGAATGCGAAGTCGGTCCAGTTACGATGTAATGTATGATACAGTTCCCTAGTAGTAAGGATGCTCGGCTCGCACCCGGGATTCTTTGCATGAAAAATGTTTACAAAAACGCATGCATGAAACGAAGAGTTAACATTAAATTATTTGTAGGCTGAAGATTTTCTTCCTCAATTCTTTTGAAAATCAAATTCGGCGTTGGTAGCAAGTGGAGTCTCCATACTTGACAGCGCACTCGATCGACGCACGCGCAGAGGAATTTTCCAGTGTTGTCACTACACCCAGACGCACATTCCGCGCGACTCCTAGACTTCTCCCGCGTTTCACGCAGATTTAAAAAAAATAGTTCAAGTTACTTATGAGACGATCCTCGTAATTAGGAAGTTGATCAAAATTATTTATTTACTGTTTCATGAAAAATGTTTAGGAAGTAATGAATCCACGATAAAGTTCCTTTTTTCAAAACTATTTGTATCAAATCTCAATGGTCGATACCTACCTCCGTTTTTATGGTTACTATTGGTATTTGTTTCTGTAGCCGTTGCACCACAGTGTCTGCGAATTCTCCTAGTTGGCATGTTGTGATAATAACCTTCGCTTCAGTGTCCTGCAGTTGAGATTTGATTTCGTCTGAAAACAATGATACATTTGAAATAATTTCTGGAAAAGACGATGACTGCAGCACGCAAAGTTTGGATAATTAATTGGTGAATAAATTGATAATGATCCGTTTCAGTAATATAATGATAGTAACTTCAGTATCTATCATTTTCAATGACATCTATTTTTCCTGCTAAATTTGCCGTATTTTTAGCGCATTTCCACAAAAATTAAAAAAATGCGCTATTGTGACCACTTTGTCCGTCCGTCCGCTCGTTCTATGAGATGCTACGAGTACTAGTTCTTTGTTCTACTTTTTTCGCTATTTGGTTCGTTATGGTGTCGAGGCTTGCACCAAGGAAGGAATTTTTTCTGCGTTTATTGCTAAAAAAGTTATTGTAAAAAAACCAACAAACCGTTTTTTACATGTTGCATAATTTTACACTTTTGCCGTTTATTAACGATTCTAGAGATCGTTTATAATTTTGTATTGCTGTCTGTCGTCTGTCTGTTGGTCTGTGCGTCTGTTCCTTTGTCTGTCTGTCCCTCTATCTGTCCGTGTGAACGATAACTTTGTTTAGAAATGTCCGATCGCTTTTATCTCCGTTAGTTATTAACTGAATTGCATGAAATTCAATATGGGCATATAGCTTTAGCCATATAATACACAATGCCAAAAGTTGAGTCGAATCGATTCAAAATTCACAGTGCCCTTTTCGCATCTCGACCATTTATAAACCGAATTGCAAACTTTTTTATTTATAAAAGTATTTGAATGAAATTTGATACATAGGCAGTTGGAATAAAGGAAAATCTAACGCCAGTTTCAAAATTTGGTTTTGCGCATGCGCAGTGTCAACTTTTTTATTTATGAAAGAATTTAAACGAAATTTGATACATAGGCACTTGGAATAAAGGAAAATCTAACACCAGTTTCAAAATTTGGTCTTGCGCATGCGCAGTGCCAACTTTTTTATTTATGGAAGCATTTAAATGAAATTTGATACATAGGTGCTTGGAATAAAAGAAAATCTAGCGCCAGTTTCAAAATTTTATTTTGCACATGCGCAGTGCCAACTTTTTTTATCTATGGAAGCATTTAAGTGAAATTTGATACTTAGGCGCTTGGAACAAAGGAAAATCTAACATTAGTTTCAAAATTTAGGTTTGCGCATGTGCAGTTCCAACTTTCTTATTTAGAAAAGCATTGAAATGAAAGTCTTCTTATAAACTGAAATTGAAGTAGCACGTCAAAAATGGATTGCCCATGTGCAACCCTATCTTTCATATTTGTGGCCGGATTTTTACGATTTTAACAGAAGTTGCACCTTACAAATGGGAAATGAATGCAAGTGGAAATGCGCTTTATGTAAATCGTTTATAATTACTTTTTAACTTGTTTGTTATCTAATGCTTTAGTTTCAATGGAACTTTATATTCAAGCTGCGGCCGTGCGGACGGGCTCTTTGTTTAAGTCGCTAGAGAGAAAACTCAACCACATCAGTTATCTATTTAAATAAATAGATAACATCTTGAACCTTTCACCGTTGAAGGATTCAGATTCCTTATTCAATGCTTTCACCGAGAAACAAAATCGGTCAAATCAAAAGAAATATATAAGGAAATGAACTAAAGAATTCGTTTCCATCTCAGCCTACATAAATTTCGTGAATGATACAGCCGATATCAACCGGTAAAACCTTTTAGATCATATATTCCATCCTCCAATTTACTTGCAATGAAGAACCTCTGTGCCCACACAACAACACCTAAGTATTTTAGGTGTTGTTGCCACATACCCAACAAAGATAAAGATATATTTTGCACCATAAGTAGAACAGTGTCCATGTCAAAATCATTATTCACGTACCAACATCGTTGGGATAAAAACCAAGAGCACTATCTCAATGCACAAGACCATGAATTTGACATGGATGGAAACAGCAAGGTTAAAATATAGGGTCGTTAAAAAGTGACGATAATACTGAGGATCCTTCGATAGACCGTTAGTTTCGGTTTATTGTATCTCAAAAACGTAGTGTCGGAAGAGAGATACTCACAAAGGGCGATTTTAAGGTCTGAACGAGACATATCTAGTAGTGACTCTCGAAAACGGACTTACAACGAGAATTTCCCCAAGGACTGTTTCTTCTGTCAAACGCCCTTATGTGTACAGTTGTGCTACTTTCTTAAATTGTAATTTGTGTCTCAACTCAAGTTCCCTTCAGCTCGTTTGTTTAGCTCAAGCGACTCTAATCCTTTACATTCATCAATCGCTTTATAATAGCCATAGCACTTTGCACGCCTAATCTCAAATGTTTACAAGTGAAAGTAGCGATAAGCATAAGTTTAATAACATTCGCCGCAATAGCAAACTTTGGACCGTAATTATAGCAGACTGTGACTATTTTTAGGCTGAACTTACCTGCAGTTCCAAATGGATTTACTGTTGTTACACGAAGACCAGCTTGTAGAGCGCCTAAAAGACATATGGCGTATTCCGGAATATTTGGTAAAACCAAAGCTACAATGTCCTTTTGTTTCAAATGAAATTTCTGTCTTAGTGCCTTATTCAAATTTAGGGACTTTCGCCTTACTTCTTCAAACGTGTACCTCCTTCCAGTTTCTGCACATTCCTACGCCGCCGTTTTAGTTTATTTTATTTTAACTAACGGATTTCTGCTCACTTACCAGCGCCGTTTTATGCGGGTGTTTGCTAAAGTTTTGGAAAATAAACTCTGGTACGGTTAGGGCCGGAACATTCACGTTAGGTAAGTGGCAGCGTATTGCACTTGCGGCACGTTGAATGCGGACAAAACCACTCGAATTATTGGTTTTTAAAAAGGAACTAAATAAGTCGGTGGTTTTTACTCGCAACGTGAACCTGAACATGTCGGTAAGAATCAACTCACTACGCTAACTGGAGAGTGCGTTCACATTCACATATTCGACACAATGAGTTCAGATAATTGAACCAATGTGCTCGATAGTAACATTATTATTTCATTAAAGTTCCTATCCTACCATCAATTCATATTCCCCGGGTGGCCGGGTATTACCTCCACGAAGGTCAGATTTCCGTGTAGGAAGGCGAAACCGGTTTACTTTGGTACTCAGAACATTAAACACTAATTAAACAGTGGCGTAACCAAGGTTGGGCTGATATTGATAAAACATAAACGCTATGAAACTAATTGTGTTACGATCGCCTCACTTATAAATTTTATATGTTTTAACTTTTGCACTTCATTGTCGTAAGCTGTTTACCGATCATTAACCTGTGTGTGTTAGTCTAGGCGATAAAGACATCTAACTGGACATTTTGAGGTGGAAAAGAAAAAAATGGTAGAATATGTTCAGTTAGGTGTCAGAAACAACCTATTAAAAATCCCACCCCTCAGACCCTGTGCTTAAAGGCTCCAGCCACCCCACCATCCCCTAAAAACCGTGTTTTCGCTCTTTTTGGCTGATATCTCGCGATCTATGAGGTCTATTATGAAATATGTTTAGCTGAAAATATTTCTCGGGAAATTTTATACAAGATAGATACTCAGAAGTTAGCCTAGGTGTACCTCTTAGCCTAGGAAATTCACAAAAGGGGCGAAAATCATCAATTTTCGTGGCTTTTTGCAAATATATTGTGACCTTTAGGGCTAGATGAAATATTTTTAGCTGAAAATGCTCCACGTGAAATTTCTTACAAGGTAGATACTTAGAAATTAGCCTAGGTATACCTTTTGCCTAGCAAATTCATAAAAGGAGGCGAAAATCATCATTTTCGTGTTTTTTTTGCGGTTTTTTGCAAATATATCGCGACCTTCAGGGCTAGATGAAATATGTTTAGCTGAAAATGCTCTTCGTGCAATTTCATACGAGATAGGTAACTGAAGAGTTGGCGTAAAGTCACCTTTCACCTTCAACTTTCATGTGTGAGGAAATATTCATTGTAAAACAAAGTATGTCTATGTAAACGTAAAAACAGTATTTTCATATTAAAATATTCACACATTCATTTATACCTCAACGTAATCATTATCCTCTGCAGATTCCACTTCTTCAGGCTCTTCGACATCCTCTAGTGCTAGTGGGTCCCACTACCACTAGAGGACGTCGAAGAGCCTGAAGAAGTGGAATCCGCATCTAGTCTATAACTTTTGATTGAGAAGTCTGATCGAAAAAGTACGAATTGATTTGGATTCTACGCACCCAAATTAATAAGAACAAGTGTTTTCCCGAGAAATTTTGGTGTAGTCGATTTTTGGTAAAAAAGGAAGGTTATACACTGCCTTTTTTTGAGCCCCGAAAAAAAAATTGTCTCAGATCGACCCGGAAAAAATTTTCTTATAGAATGTGGCCTGTAGAATCCATAATTTCAAACAATTCCAAGATTGGGCTACTAGTTCAAAAGTTACAGCCCTTTGAATTTTCTTTCGAAATTGGTTTCTAGTCTATAACTTTTGATTAAGAAGTCTGATCGAAAAAGTACGAATTGATTTGGATAAGTATAAGGATAATGATTACGTTGAGGTATAAATGAATGTGAGAATATTTTAATATGAAAATACTGTTTTTACGTGAATAAATGGTACATAGAAATACTTTGTTTTACAATGAATATTTCCTCACACATGAAAGTTGAAGGTGAAAGGTGACTTTACGCCAACTCTTCAGTTACCTATCTCGTATGAAATTGCACGAAGAGCATTTTCAGCTAAACATATTTCATCTCGCCCTGACGGTCGCGATATTTTTGCAAAAAACCGCAAAAAAAACACGAAAATGATGATTTTCGCCTCCTTTTATGAATTTTCTAGGCTAAGAGGTCCACCTAGGCTAACTTCTGAGTATCTACCTTGTAAAAAATTTCACGAGGAGCATTTTCAGCTAAAAATATTTCATCTAGCCCTAAAGGTCGCGATATATTAGCAAAAAGCCACGAAAATTGATGATTTTCGCCTCTTTTATGAATTTCCTAGGCTAAGAGGTACACCTAGGCTAACTTCTGAATATCTACCTTGTATGAAATTTCCAGAGAAATACTTTCAGCTAAAAATATTTCATATAGACCTCATAGATCTCGAGATATCAGCCAAAAAGAGCGAAAACACGGTTTTTGGGGGATGGTGGGGTGGCTGGAGCCTTTAGCACAGGGTCTGGAGGGTGGGATTTTAGATTTTTAATATGTTGTTTCTGACACCTAACTGAACATATTCCACCATTTTTTTCTTTTCCACCTCAAAATGTCCAGTTTGCCAATTTTACAGTCTCTATCGCCTAGACTATGTAGACAACAATTAATAGTATATTAAGCTACAAGTGTATAATCAAGTCTTTAAAGCACGCGCAACGAGTTTAAGGGCACGACGCAAAGCGGAGTGCCTTTAACGTTGCAAGTGCTTTAAAGACCAATTATACACGTGTATCTTATAGTATTTTTTTATACCTGCAGTATAATTTAAAAATAGGAAATACAATGAAGTCATATTGACGTTATACTCGAATACATGTCTAATTAAGTGGGCTGGGTGTTCGTAATTTCACGATTGTCATGGAAACGTCACTTGACGTTTGCTTATAAAAATCATCGTCTTTGTGAATTAAACGATTTCCGTTGAAAAAGATAATAGTACGGGAGGTAGCGTCCTATTTTTACGGGTCATTTTCGCACAATTACTTTTTATTCTGCCTGGTAGTTTTTACTTAGTTAACACTTAAAACAAGCGTCAGCTGGCGCGACTGCGTGGCGTGATGGTATGAGAGGCTAAGAAACACGTAAAAAAAAATTGTTTTTCGGACCATTTTCGCAAAGCTGAAAATGGTATATATAATAGTGAACAATGTAAAAAGAGGATAATAACTGTCAGCTGATATTTAAATGTGGCAAAACCTGTTAGCTGGGCGTCCAAAGTGTAGCGTAGCGTTAGCGGGCGCTAGCGCGCGCGCCGACTTTGGAATTTTGATGACCCAGCTAACACATTTTTCCACGTTGTCGTGTCAGCTAACAAGTGGTATCCTTTTTTTTGTGCCATAAACTGATGAGGTACTCATTTCCATGCATGCTGATGTCATATTATTGGAGAAAAATATGATTGAAAGAGAATACATGAGTAAAATGGTATCACATACTGTATAATAATATTATACATAAATTGAAACATTGTATTTTATAATTTGTAACGTGGTTAAGGACATAGAATAAATCAAAAGAGACAAAACAAACTAAAAAAAGGAAACTAATAGCCCTAACCACGGCTGCGGAGAGATTATGGTACGTTTGTGTAAGATTATTTTAGGCGCTACTAACTTTTATTTTCCTGTTAGGACAAAACGCAACCAATAACACATTTCTTAGACAATTCTTAAAAAAATGCGTTACAAGAAAACAGACCGGGTCTGCGGGAGTGTGACTGAGACGGACTTATGCGCGTCGGTTGGTGTTGCCAGGAGCTGAGACGCTCGCGTTACGTTTTTAATAAATATTCAACCTCTTATATTTCTTAAACCGTTGGTCTGATTGAAAAAATGTTTTATTAAAAAAAACTATCTTGATTCATTCGGCATATTTTGTATCGCACATGTATTATACCTCCATCTGCACTCATAACGAAAATACCATAATATAATAATAAAATAGTTTGGGGATCTAAATCATCAATTTATACACGCCCGCCGTCTTTATTTCCAAAGATATTTAAACAATCTTCCACTGTTTGTCTTATTTTCTCCTTAGCTTCCTCGACCACAAGAGGGCTATTTTTTAATTTTTGGGCACGGCTCCCTAACAGGGAAATAAAAGTTGGTAGCGCCTGGAAGATAATCGCACACAATCATACCTACAGTCTCTCCGTGAGCAGCCGCAGCCGTGGTTAGGGCTATTAGTTTCCTTTTTTTGGTTTGTTTTGTCTATTTTGATTTATTATATGTCCTTAACGCACGTTACAAATTATAAAATACAATGTTTCATGTATAATATTATTATACAGTATGTGATACCATTTTACTCATGTATTCTCTTTCAATCATATTTTTCTCCAATAATATGACATCAGCATGCATGGAAATGAGTACCTCATCAGTTTATGGCAAAAAAAAAGGAAACCACTTGTTAGCTGACACGACAACGTGGAAAAATGTGTTAGCTGGGTCATCAAAATTTAAAGTCGCCGCGCGCGCGCTAACGCTACGCTACACTTTGGACGCCCAGCTAACAGGTTTTGCCACATTTAAATATCAGCTGACAGTTATTTATGCTCTTTTTACATTGTACACTATTATATATACCATTTTCAGCTTTGCGAAAATGGTCCGAAAAACAATTTTTTTTACGTCTTTCGCAGTCTCTCGCCATCTTAAGCCACGCTTTTGAACCAGCTGACGCCCCTATCGTTGATAGGTTATGGATCAAAAATCTATAGTAGAAAGATGAACTTTGCGAAAATGGTCCGGTCAAATAGGACGCTACCTCCCGTACTATAATACACCGTCCACTAAATCGATTGTTGTAAAATCTAAACAAACGTTGGTAGGTGTAAAATCCAACTCCAGTAAAGCCTATTAGAATATGAAAAGTTGTTTCCTGGATGAATGGGAAGTTACTTACGAATACAGTCTTAAATGCATCCATAATGCTGGCATATATGAAGGAAATGTCAAAGGTATTTAAATCTTCTATATTTTGGTGCATTCATTCAAAACTTTAAAGCAGTGCTGCGATTAAAAAGTGGAACAGATTTGGAAGCATACCCTAAATTACGCGCGTTTGTGAAAGCTTCAACCAAAGGATAGGTACAAAAGCCAAAGAAATGTTCTGCATTTACAGAAAGCGACCTAAGAGGATTTTTTATTTCATCCAGATGACAGTTTCAAAAGTCATACTTGAAGTATCGTTACTTAGCAACTTTAAAGCACGTGTGTTTTAAAGGCCCTTTTTCGCACGCATTTGAGTGTTTAAAACGGAGATTGTGATTCAGGTATAATAAAAACATAATTTTGACCTTGGTGCAACTAGTTTTTTTGT